TTCTCACCTTTTTGCTTCTGCCTTGTAGCAATGCGCCAGAAATTTCCTTCTTTTCTTTTTTTTTTGCATGTGTGCAGATTTTTTTTTTTTTTAGCTTATCTCTTTTTTTGAATTGCTTGTCTTTGTGGGTAAAGGCCCGTTCACACTCTTGCAACCGAGTACGACCGAGAGAGACCAAACCGGTTTTTAAGCCTCTTGCGATCTTAGGACCAGCTCCGCTCAGTGCATCCGGTCTCAAGAAGTCTTTCTCGGTCGTACTCGGTTGCAAGAGTGTGAACGCGCCTTAACCGTTTTGGGATGAAAGATTTGTTTCTTTTTTTTCTGTGCGCGCATGCAGAGGGTATTTTTTTTAGCTTTCTCCCCTTCTGAACTGCTTCTCTTCGCTCAAATTTGTTCAGAACTCGAGCTTTTAGGATTTTTTATCTTTCCCACTTTTTTTTTTAGGGGGGGGGGGGGTGGGGAGGAGGGGGAGGCACAGGCTAGAAGCCTACTGTTTGAGCGTTTTTGGAAGCCTTCCCGGGGGAAAGTTCGATATAGCCATTCTGTTGTTCGTTATAAAAAGTACTTTTTGCATGCATTTTTATTTAAATTTTCCTTTAGTTCAATATCGAAAATAATTTGCTGCACGTGGGTTCGTTCTAAACGGGTTTCACTGTAGAAGGAGGGCATGCAAAGTGTCAGTTCTGTAAGCCAATTTTATACCTCCAGAACGAAGTAAAGCATAGCTTTGCTCAATGAATCTGCTCAATGAAATTATTGTTGAAAAAGGGTGTCGATAACCACATACTTTTTTTTTTGGTGGAAGACATACTGGAATACCTGTTGCCGGTCGCTATGAAAAGAAATCTCAGAAAATACCTATTTATCAGGTAAAAAAAAAATGTATGAAAAAAGTTTTTTTTACATTTACGTGTTTTGCAAATTACAATTTTTTAAAATAAAGGAACATGAAAATGCAAATACTAAGTTCATGGTAACTGGCTCCACAAAACTTCCACACATAAGCCACAAATATTAAGTCTCAATAGTTTCATACTGAAACAATAGTTTTATTAAGGCCGAATTTATGCGAAAAAGTGGATTCGAGAGAAACGCATTCAAAGTGCTCATACCTTTACCCTTTTTGTAGCATTGGCGGACTGAAATAACTGAAATAAGCAAAAATAACTATGCACTGTAAACAAATAAAACTTTCTAAGAATACTCTCTAGATGTTGGCGGATGTAAGTAGAGCATTTTTCAAAATCAACTTTTTTTTGCGCAAATTTGTTTTCTGGGTTCTGTTCCCCTTGAGTTGTTGAGACAATTTTAAGACCAGCTTGGAGGAGCAACTTCTTTTCCTGTCTCATAGGACCAGCTTGGTCACACGACCAACTGTGCATTGCAGAGCTTAGCATATTATTAGATTACTATTTCAATATTCACACAACACTGTTTTGATCTTTTTACTTGCAAAAGCTTGTTTTTTCCATCTTAGTTCAAAAATATACACAGTGATGTTTCATTAATGTGGACCCTGCAATTACGAAAATCCCTCTAAACAGGGCGTTTGATTTTAATTCTAACAGATTCCGTTTTAAAGCAGTGAAAGGTACATTAATCTGATCTCTGCACGGGAGTTATACGAAAAAAGGGGAACATAATTTAAAGGCAAACCATCACAATGTCGGATAATTAGTTAATTAAATAAAACTGCTTAAATGACTTTCTACTCAATGAAGATAACCATTTTTCCAATTAGAAACTTGCTGAGCGTCATCAAAAACAACTACCTAGGTAAATTAGTGAATTTTAAAAGGGTGTGCTAAAGTTACCATTTGTGAAATGGGCTCTAAGATGGCAGTAAAAAAAACTCCTACGATAATCTCATCCATCTGGGTTTTCGCACCCTTTTTCTTAAGCCCAGGAATCTTCCTACAGCTCCCATTGGGACTCCAATTGCGGAGGGCAGAGTCAAATCTCCCCTAACGGGCATTGGGTTTCTACAAAAACAACACGAAATAAACAAAAAAAAAATATGTGCGCTGTCCTCATGGCAATTGTTAGGTTATGGAAGAGGGCGTGAGAAGCCTTGCCCCTCCTCTCTCTCACCCTCAGCGACAATAGGATGCAAGTTCGTTAGGAGTTCGGAGCAATCTCGAAACTCCAAACAAATTTGCATCCCATTGTCGCAGAGTTTGAGCTGCTCTGATTGGGCTTACATCCAATTGCCGCCGTCTTGTATTTTTTACAAAAAACAATGTAAAGGCACTGTCTCTTAGAAAAAAGAAAAGTGTGTGCTTACCCGTTTCTGCGAATGTCCGATGCTCCCAGAATGATTGCACTTGACTTTGCGTCGCTCGACTGAGATCGGCTCGGCAGCAGTGCATGCCCAGTGATAGCCACTTCTCATTGTATCGCCAATCAATGAATGCAAAATGCACCCCGCCGCTGGTGTTTCGTGACTTAAGGCCGACGTACACTTTGCGCTTTCACCTTTTGCCTGCCTCCTCCTGCCCGATATCCTCTTCACTTTTTACCTAGCCTCAACTTGGCTCCCCTCGCAGCTTAAAAGAGAGGAGCGCCAAGAGGATTATCTTCCCTGCAGAAAACCGAGGTTGAGCGTCCCCTTTTAAGATGGGCGACTTTTCACATTGCCAGACTGAGCACAAGTTCAAGTTTCTTTTGAAAGCCCTTTTTTTTTTATTAGCCACGCTCTTCATACAAAAACGTTTAGCCTTTCCACTCTCGTGAACAAGAAAGACCAGCGGAGCGGTACTCGATACACTGTGTGCTTCTTCGTCGTCGTCCGTTTTTCGCGCTGTTTCCTACGATGAATTTCCACCAACGCGTTCAACTATCCATCCTTCTATTATAGCTGGAAAGATTGCCACCATCTATGAGAGACGGCGGAAACCATACTGGTTGTGTGCTTGCCGCCGTCGCTTATAGATGGCGGTAGCTGTCCAGGTAAGTTTGTGTCGAAATACACTAACACAATCCTGGGGAACCTAGCCCTTAACAGCTCTGCTGTAAAAAAAAAAAGTTCACAACACAACGAAAAAACAAAATCTACACGAAACTATTAAAATATTCACAGACCTGCAATCACATTCAACTTTGCTGTAATTAGCGACAGTGGTTCGATCACCACGGTCTCCCGCAGCTTCCTTCTGCAGCGCAAGCTGCTCGACGCACATGCTAACGAGCTGCGGTGCTCTAACACCAATCCCCCTATGCTGCTCATCTTAACATAAATGCCCTGTTTGTTCTGACCTTCTACAATAACTGTACCAATGTAAAACATGCACCAGTAAGTTTTCGGTAATCCGAAACTGTCTTTACCTTTCGACACTCGGAAACCCAAAGTACTTGGGAGAGCTGTTTGCACCGGAACTGGAGCACCGCCGTGCCAAGCAATAAATAAAGTGGTGTTTGCTCGGCGTACTGGCAGATGAAATAGACCGATAACCAACAGGCCAACGACACTGCTTGCTGCCGCAAATGAAAAGCACAACCTCACCGCTGGCACAGGCGCCGTCAAGCAGCCAACGCAGCGTGCAGCCGCGGCAGCCGATGTGTGTCGCGCAACTGTTCTCAACGGTCAAAATGCAAAAACAACCGACCAAAAAGAGCAAAGTATGAGGGCGAAACTTTAGCTGACCAAAATATTTGTTTCACCTTAGCAGGGTAATTTTTTTAAAATCTGTAAACAGCAACAATAATACGTGTCTCATCATATTAATTAATTTTCCGGCGAAAAACCGGAAGTTCTTAAGGGGCTGTGCAACGATTTTCAGACTTTGGCCAATTAACTGCAGAAATTGATCTGCATCACCTATAGAACAAAAAGCAGAAAACCGTATTTTCTTGAAAGCGCTAGTTCTTATTTAAAAAAAAAAAAAAATGAAACAAATCAAAGGTCAAAATACCCCTCAACTCTCCACGTTCACTTTCGAGTGACGTACTCTGGGGGTTCACGTAGTTTCCCCTTGGGTCCTCTCTTCAGAGATCAGCCGCTTCCTCCGCGATTGTCAACTTTTAAAGGATTAGCCTTGTCTAAGGTCGCGGCGAGCGATCGACACGAAGGACGGTTCGCCACGCGGCTGACGGCGAGTGTAGCAGCGGAGGGGGACAGGGTTTGTTGACTTCCGCGTATCCCCCAGAGACGCCATCATTTTAGCTCCCGCAACCCCGACAGGTGGCTGCAGATCGGCAAATAATTTGTTTTTTGCTTTGAGATTACCCAGCAGAATAGCAGTTTTTCGGGGAAAGTTGACACGCTTTTGGTCACTTGGGCTTGCATAAACAATACAAAAAATGCAAACTGCCAATTATTTCAACATTGGAAACATTGCACTGCCCCTTTATTAGAGTACCAACGAATAAGAGACGGCACTCAAATAGCTGACTGGAAGTCGCTCGAAGATTCCGGGTATTGCTTTTACCCAACGTTACTAAAACACCCAGTAGGGAAACTTGCCCTTGAAACCCAAACCGCTCACGTCCACCGAGACCAAACTAAACACGATAACAGCGCCATCCTTTATTGACGAGTCAAAACATGAAAGCTAATTTACATTGTTACTATGAAATGGCGCCACCAGCCCTTGCACGACTCAACCTGAACCGATATGTACAGAAGTGCAGTTCCCAGAGTGGCCGCTGCAGGAGAAATGGCGGCGTCGCAATCGCATTTAGTTCGGTTCTCCAGTACGGATCGAAGCCAATTTTTTGAAACAGGCTCAATGGCAGTTCCTGCACCGAGTTGTTCTGATAACGTTGCTTTTACGATATAAACTGCCGGCACAAACCGCACTAGTTAACCTTTCGTGGTTTTTCTTAAATAGATCTGTTTGAATTAAAATCAAATGCCCTTCATATAAAAATTTTTCTTTTTGTTATGTGCAATTTTCACGACTGTAGTATAATGAAAAAAAAAAAAGGAAATGGAGAGAAGTTGAAGTTGTGTGAAATGTAGATGCAGTGACATACACCAAATAATTTCTTGGCTGCATTCATTCCAGAAAAAAACATTTTACTACAGGTATTTGAAACAAGCTAAAACCACCTCAAAATTTTTTTTCATGTATAGTGAAGGCAAATTCAATTTGCCTCTCATCCTCTCATCAATAAAAAACGTTATATCACGATTTAAGCAATTACTGTAGTTGAAAACAATGAACTTACACACCTAACAGCTCAGATTGAGTGACAATGGCAGTGAGTGCAACGATGTGCCTAGAAAATGACAATGCAGGATGAGGGCCGTTGCACGCTTAGATATTAAAATAGTGTAATGAAACAATGAAACAGATGCTATTCTTTTCAATGTAGATATGCTAGGTCCAATCTCAAGCAAGCTGCTGAAAGGTTTCGCACAAAAAAGGTGCCCCAAAACTGACAATTCAGTTGCACGAAGGAAAAAGCCTAAATAATCTAAATTATTCCCGTCCTTCAAAGGGGCGTGCCAGATGCCCTTTGTTGGCTCGGCACGTAAACCCCAAAACTGCATTAGTACAGCAACCACTCCGAGTCGTCAAAATAGTGTGTATATAGAAGCACACATGAGTTGTTTAAACAAACCAAAGCTTCGTGATCATTGTTCTTACCCCCCCAGGACCCTATTTTATTAAAAACAAAAGTGTTCTGCTATTTTAGGGTGAATCACAAATCTTACTTCAACGAATATACACAAAACATGTACAATGCTCCCTTGCCTTAATGTCACACAAATGGTCGACTTTAGCGAAGAAGTGCTAGCCTATATTCCATTCACCTCTAAGCTGACAGCGCGGCGGGAGCTACGTGCTCGCCGGACCAATCAATCGCCTCCCTTTCGTCACCTGACCTCGCTTTCTGCGCACGGGTATGGGAGAGAACATGATCATGTGGCGAAAGATAGATATGACTGGTTTAACAAGCATGGAGCTTCCACCACACTGTCAGCTTAGGGATGAACGGTGTATGGCGGCTATCGCTTCAACTGCCCATTGCATGACGGAGCATACGCAACCCACTGAACAGGGTGGAACGAGGTAGGTAGCCAGACCATAAAGGTAACCACTTAATTGCAAAGCGCGTTTCAGCCATCTTCCTAGATTGAGGAACAAACTGCGCATTAATTCTGTTGGAAATGCCCTACCGCTGCTTTGGGAGTTAGGCAAATCCTGTTGTGCGTCGGAAGCTTGAAACGATGGGTGCTAAAATGGCACCTCTCTGCCAAAGTCGGGCGCTCCGTGTGTAAGGGATCAGGCTGATTCACACATCTGCATTTGACTGTGGTAGGCTGCGGTACGACTCCCTGTGATGGCTCACAATGAGAAAACACACCGGCGAAATTTGTCAAGCGGCCCTGGAACCCTTTAGAATCTGCATACAACCACAAGCCTGAAGAGTTTTTAAAAGTATTTCCGAGATAAAATCATAGCACTATTTACGAGAAATGGTCTCTCTTAACAGTGTGAGAATTAGTTCAAGCAATGGGGTGTGAAATATGTGCAGGTTGGACGCGTTCCGCGGTTGCCCGATAGACGGCGCCACCGGACTATCTCGTCGTAAGTTGTCGCCAGCGATCGCGGCATACTCGGTCGTGATGGAACGCAAACGTGTGAACCAGCATTTAAGCTCAAAATGACGTTTGGATCTACCCTCGCGAGTGCCTGTCGGTGTTCAACGAAGCGACAGTTCAAATTCACGGGCTAATTTTGTCCAGCATTGCCTTGAGGAGCTGAATGTGTAACAGCTCCCGCTCCATGGCTGCCTTGTGCTCGTCATCCCGTTGCTTCCTTTCTGCAGCCTCGTCCCGCCTCCGCTCGACCTCGAGCCGGACGCAGACGAGTTCGACGTTTTCGTACCTCTCGCGTTCGAGCTTCAATGTTTCTTCCTCCAGCTTCAGTTTCCGCTCCTCGAATGCCAGCTGCCGTAGATCCCAGCTTGTCCTCGCGGCCAACATGTCAGTCGCCGCCTCCAGGGTCTTGCGTTTGCCTGTCGAGCAATTTTTGGAAGATTTCGTTTGTACGTCATACTTTGAGTGGCTTCCCATAGAATATACTGGGGGTTTCAGCTAACCTGTGCTGGGACTTCAGTGCAGCTGGAGCGTGCTAAGCGTGTCGCACCAATACAGTATTGTTCGCAGTCTTATTGAGCAAGTTGAGATACTTTTCTGACGGGCCAAAATGGTTAATTATTGTGAATTAGCTAACTTTTTAAATCTTAATCTGTGCATAAATCCTCGAATAAAAAAAAATTATAGGTCATGTTCAGAAATATCCTGTCGTGTCATTTACATCAAAGTAGCCTTCATGCAACTAACTGTATCAAACTTAAAAAAAAGCGTGCAAGATTTAAAAAACAACACGTGACTAAGGGCACTAACATTGCAGTTTGCTAGCGGGTAGTCACGTAATACAGATTTAAATCTCGTGCAAAAATTATAAGATTTGTTTAGAGCTCGAAATAATTCGACGCACAACGACTACGTTTATGGAAACAACACAATGGGATGTTTCTCAATGCTCTATACAACAACTTAATCTCAAGGTTTCCACACAAATAACTATCCAAAAAGTTAGCTAATTAATCTGTGTTAATGAGTTAGTATGTTACTTCACAAAATAACTTCTTGACTTCTTCAACAGGATTGCAAACAAGACTGCGTCAGTTCAACACATGTAGAGTAGAGATCAATCTAAGTTTTGGCACAAGTCAGTTGAAACACCTGGTACAGCAAGCACCGTGAATATAATTGTGCGCTCTACCAATGAAAAAAAACACGGGTGCCAATTGGCTGTTTTGATGTAGCTACCTGGGACTTCCACTTTTTCTTGCAATTGTGTCGAGTGTATGTTTAGACGGCGGGAAATTAGTCCGCCGCAACAGGCATTTGCTGTCCTCGCTGAAGACGTGAAATTTTGCCAGTACGGTACGATTGTTAGTGTGGGGCTTTTAACGTGAATCGTCCAGTGGTGAGACACAACTGCCCGCCAGTACGATGCTTGTCTAGGTCGAGACCGGCAGGAATGGGGATTGAGCGCAGAATAGCCGAGCGTTTGCAGTGTGTGCTCTAAGCCGCAATGCATTAACACGCTCTGCCGCCGATCTTCCATCTTTTCTCACTACATTCTCCAAAACAAGAGCAGGCCTTTTAAAGAGACCATGAAATTATTTTCCAACTTCTTCCTCCATAGATTTAATGCTCAACTCGTAAGCCGAATGAGAAATCACGCGGTTGCGACGTGCCAAGGCACCACGTATAACGGCTCCAAGCTTCCACTGCCCTTTTTAAGCATGCCGTGCAACTTGTCATTCGTAAGTGACGACAAGTGTCTCCACGGTACTTGCTAGACACGAACGCGAATCCAAATATTTGTCGACAGATTGATCGTCAACGAGCGCATACGTCCGAGTGACGCAGTGGTCGTGTCCAACGCGTGGGTTGGAGTCGGCCGACGCACTTGGGCGCCGCGGACGCATCGCAGAGAAAAGGTGAAGAGCTTTCGGAGGAAAGGAAGTAAGAAACACTCCGCTATATTTTCAAATTTTTGTACTGAAAAGCAGGCTTTGGCTTTACGCCGTCGTGTACTACCGTATTTCCAGGAAATTAACGCGAGTTTTTTTCGGAATTAAGTGCTCCAAAACGCACCTCGCGTTATATTCAGAATCAAGTTCAGCCATGAGGATCGCGAGTCTGGAGAAAGCCATCCCTCCTGCTCAATGCAGGAAATTTGGAGGGAAGAGAAGTGGCGGCGTGGGAGAAAATTTATTAGCTGTTGGGCCCCGTGAAGGGGCGAATAGAAAACATAAAAAGCATTTTTATCGCTTTTGTGTTTGTACAATGTGTGCATGCCACAGAAACGCAGCGTGCCATGCGGGAATGTGGGCACTGGCCAATTCAAGCCAAGCCAGGCCAAGCCAAATCAGCACAAGCCAAGCCAAGACTACCGACCGCGTTTACGGAACCGCACGCATCACAAGGTGTTTATTTATGCGGTGGGACCAGAACAAGTATAAGTGTGATCATGTATCAAGTTCCGCAGTCTTTTTTCTGCGTGTGCATTTTTTAGTTTCTGCTCCAGAGTGGTCTGGTGTTTGTATGTTGGTGCTTCTGCTTCGTGCCTTGCTTTGCTTGGGGGCTGCCGAGGAGCTCAAGCCAAAGAAAAAGGAACTACCGGACAAGCGGCGCACTGCTGCTGCTTACGTGCGTAGTGGCCAAGTGGATTATAAACGGAAGGACGTGAGCAGTGAGGATGAGTGCAATCAAAACATGAACTGATATTTCTTCTATTTCCATTGCCTTTCCACTTCTACTATGCCCCCCCCAGGTGCGGGGAGGAGGTTACGAAGTACTGAAATGACCTCTCACCACGCCGCACAATATGACCTTCGTTCGGGCAGGGAGGAGGTGACGCGGCGTTTTCGGTGGCTTGAGCGGCCTCCCCCGATCCCGACGTGTCGGCGCACGCAAAGTCCACCGGTGGGGACGCCGGCACGAAGGCGCTCTCCGGCACCTCTTCTTGGCTGTCGCGAGTGCCTGGAAAGAAAAACGAGTCGAATCAAACTTGGGGTTTCTAGTTTTGTGCCAAAGCAACCAAGGGCACCTGACATGCTCCGGCGATAGATTCTGGACCGATTTCAACCACCCGGGGATCTTTCGACGTGCAACCGAAATGTCGGTTGCCCATCTTCGTCGCAATAGATCTCCGTCAAATAGAAAAACCTCAGCAGAGATTCGAACCTGCCAACTGAGAATCTGTACGCCGGCACTTTGCCAAATTTATTTATTTACTTATTTGATTAGCTCTAAAGGCCCTGATGGGGTATTACATAGAAAGAGGTATGATATAAAACATATGCATAATTGAACAAATACTATCAATATCAAAAAGAATGAAAAAATATTGATAACACCAGTACAAATAGGAATGACAAATCCACAACTAATTACAATCACCCACAGGAAAAAAAAAAAAAAAAGTGCTGTCGTAAGTGAGCAATAGACATGTTTACGAGGGGCGAGTTGTTAATAGTAATTACGGAGCAGACACACGAAGAAGCCATGGTCTCAGGTGAGAGCTATTTTACACGCCAGTTTATTCGAGCCAGTCGTGGCCATGACAAATGAGAAAAATTTTAACAAATTACCTTTGACAAAGGGAATGTGAACTTTGTCGTTGAGATAACGACAAGGTGAAATGCAAGTGGGTGGTAGGATGTTAATTTGACGAAATGGGTCAAAAATATTAATTAGTTTAGTTGTTTTATTCTCGGGACCACAGGCATGACAGAGGAGAGTAATGATAAAATAACAGTGGAAAATAAGTCAAATTTGGGGGTTTTACGTGCCAAACCAACGAAGGGCACCTGGCACACCCCAGTGGAGGACGTTAAGATTAATTTTGACCAGTGTTGCGGAATGGGCACCCCCATTCCATTCCAATTCCATTCCAGGGAATTAGAGTTTGCGATAATTCCATTCCTTTCAACTCCTGGGAATGGGAACACTGTGCCCATTCCCACTCCTGGAATGGCTGACTCGCTCTATTCCATTCCTCCAATTCCTGAACGTAAAAAGTGTCACTTGACAGCTGCATTACGTTGCAGGGTTGGGCAGAAATATTCAGACATGTACTTGGAAATACAAATACTGGGGTAGATGAAAATAGTTGGTAAGATACTGATACTCAAGTCTCAAATATATCTATAGAAATGTATCGTGATACGTATCGGAAATACATTTTAAAAAGAGGCAAAAAGTCTTTGGAAATCCAAATACAAGAATACATTTTAGGGAGGGCAGAAATATAAATACTGATAAACAATACATTTTTCAAATTTCTTTGAGACGCCAACTGAGATGAGGCTGCAGGCTTGGCACTTCGCCTTGAACGTAGTGGTTCCGGACGAAGAGTCCTAAATGGGTTTAAAAAACGTTCCATCAAGGATTGACCGCGGTCCCTTCCCTGGCATCCTGTCTGACTGACCAGTGATGCGAAAAGACTTCGACCTCTAAAAGAAATTCCATCGAAACATCACCACTTCCCTGTCCAATAAGGGCGCCCCTGTCGGCACTGCATGACGTCACGGTGGGATGAACCAGTATTGAATCTGTAGGTGTTGCCTTGAACATGAAACTTTACCCACACTGCTGTATAAAAGGACAATACATACTTTTGTTGTAGCTGACCTCGTAGAAGACAATGCAGGCAGTTGCATTTGGAATTTTCAAGAAAAGTGGACCACCTGAAGCATCCTGAAGCACATGTATTATCTTCTGTTACGGCTGAAAAATCGATACAGTGGTATCCCTGTTGTGACGGTCCTTCCTGCCGACTCTCCGCCTCCAACGCATGAATGGCAGTCTTCAAGTTTCGCCTAGCATCATTCAAACAGGGACCTCGTGGATTGCGACCTGAGATGGCCGGCACAGGGGCGAGCTCTTTGAGAAACAGCGCGCTCGAGACGAGTCGAAAGTGTACGAAGTCTGGGTCTGCACAGAGAGGCCACGTCTGGCCTCCTTCCTGGGTATCGGATCACCAGAGCAGCAGGTCACGTTCGCGTCGGCTGATGACGTACCAGCCGTGCAATATTACAGGCGCAGACGCATTCGGAGATGTGTTGAACTTCACTTGTGAAAGGCGCCACCGCCCCCCCTCCCCCCCTCACCCCTCTGTTCTTTGCTTTGACGCTTGTTTTTTGTATTGCAAGTTATTCTGCTAGGGCCTTACGTGGGTTCGCAGTTTCCCACTCATTTTATTTCTGTACAACCGACTGCCTGACTGGCTCGGTATAGCTAATGTAAAAAATAAATAAATAAATAAATAAAAAAATATAAAGAACCTGGCCCATTCCATTCCGGGCAAAAGGCATCTAATTCCATTCCCCTTCCATTCCCCTGAACGTTGCCGCCATTCCATTCCCATTCCATTCCCATTCCATTCTTGGGTCGCGAAAATGCGGAATGATTCCGGAATCATTCCAACTCCGGAGTGGCAACTCCGCAACACTGATTTTGACTACTTGGGGATCTGTAGAAGTGCAACCGAAAGCCGGGTTACACGGAGACTTTTCTACAACATCCCCAGCAATTTGGGACATTGACCACTCGCACCATCTCTTGGCAGATGTGTGCGAACAGCTAACAATAAAATCTACCCAATACAAATCAAATAACGAAAAGTTCTCCCAGATATATTAGGATTAGGGATGGGCGAATATTCGGTTATTACGAATAGCCAATCGAATTCCATTCTATTCGGCATTCACTTCAAATCGAATTTAAGTATTTGACAATATCAAATTATTCGACAATATTGAATTATTCGAAAATATAGAATTATTCGAAAATATAGAATTATTCGACCTTTCTAAATACAGTCATACCCGACTATACCGAACCGGTTTACATCAAATTATTCCTTATATCGAACAATTTTTGTGCACAGTAATGTTACAGTGACAATATATAGCAAAAACTATGGTTGCATCGAACAAAAATAGCAGCCGCTACCGATATATTGAACTGCCAAGAGCGCCGTTTTGCTCTGCAAGCTGGCTTTCCCAACGCGCGCGGCCGCATTGGGGTAAAGCCAGCTTGCAGAGCACGCTGGCTTTTTTTTTCGGCGGCCGCGTCGACCGCCCGGAAGAAAATAGGGAGTTTTCGTAGACCGCGTTGCCCCCTCCGCTAAGCTTTCCGCAACGAAGAAGTTGCTACTGCGCCTGCGCGCCGATAGCCTTGACTGTGGAGTTCCCGCTATCGTAGCGGGTTGCGGAGGGCCTTGCGGGACGGCGAAAACGATCTACGAAAACTCCCTAATAAAATGTATTTTTTGCGGAGCGAGGGTGCTCCGGTGCTCCCTCTGCCCGCTCCGTCGGCAAAAGAGAATATTATTTTTTCTTCCAAATTGACGCGGTCGCACAGAGAAAAAAAAAAAAAAGCTAGCTTGTTTTGCTAGTTGGCTTCCCCCAACGCGACCACATGTTTTAGGGGAAAGCCAACTTGCAGAGCAAAACGGCGCTCTGCAGGAGAAGGTGCTCCATTGGACGTGCTCTCGGCATAGTTCGGCGCTAATGCGCGAATATAGAAGGCAGCGGCCTCAGCATTTTGGAGTCTGTAGATAGCGTAGAAAAATATCGTTATCGCGGATGCAATGAAGAGAAAGCAGCAGAAGATGCAAGACGACTTCATTGTGTAGTATTTCAGCAAAAAGTGGATTGTTGAGAGTCAAATTTATTAAAAGTTTTATATCGAATTACCCGCTATATCGAACTGGTAGACGTTTTTTTGCGAGGTCGATATAAACGGGTTCCACTTACTCTGGCTTGGATTTACGGCCAGGTGGCACAAGCTTCCAACCGTTTCAACCATTTCGTGCTACCAAACTCGATACATTTGAAATTAACAATTACAGTATATCTATACCAAATAAGGGCAAATATAAAACTATAGTTTAAGCATATCTTGTGGTATTTTTTGCTTGTACTATTCAAACTATTCAATTCGAAATTATTCGACCAAAATCGCTATTTGCTTCAAATTTGATTCGGACCCAAAATCCTCTATTCGCCCATGCCTAATTAAGATAAGTTAGATTTATCAGTCCAAGAAAATTTTCATTACCCTACAACTGTTTTTGTAGGTTCCTGGAAAAAAAAAATTAGATTTCCACCATTGACTCTCACAAAAATCTTTGTTCCGTTTTTAGTTCTATCAAATTTACGAAAACCATTAAGCATTTCACAAAAGTTTCCTGAGAAATATATGGTAGGGACTGCATGCTATCAGATTTTGTATGCATCCAATCTATAACTGAATTCTCCTGGGTTCCCTGAGATAATCAAATTTGTGACTGTCTGGAGCTGAGCTAGTTGGTTTGACATGCTTCTAAATGTTTCCAGCTTAACGTAGAGGGAAAAAACAAAGGAGGGGAGAAAAAGAGGCACACACTACTGGACTACCAACCATTTATTAAAATTCTTTTTCATCCACCCTCATGAATTATACTATTGAGTTCCCAGGGGTAACTTCTTCTATGGTATATTTGATAGATAGCGGTCACATGGTTTCTCAGATGGGGCGCTCCCTGAAGATAGTTTTTCTTTCGGAAATAGCGTAATGGAGGCGGCATTAACACAGTCGTCCCCATTGCCTCAATGGCCAGACTCCAGGATCTCCCTTGCAAGCTGGTTTTTGTGTCTTCCAACGATGGTAACGTTTGCGAAATCAGGAGCACATTGGCATACTCGACAATGCGCCGGAAAGTGGCCAGCTGACGTTATTGTGTGAACGGAAGCTGCACGCTCCCTGGTGCGGTCATTAATACATCGCCCGGTTTGTCCAATGTAGGATCTGCCACATGACAATGGAATACTGTACACAACTCCCTTCTCGCACGGGGCGTAAGGTGTTCCGTGTGCGATGCCGCAAGTGGACATCTGATTTTGGTCAATCCTACAATTCACTTTACGGCACATGGCTTATGTCTTGTTGGGGGCTGAGCATACGACCTGTACGCCTGGTCGGCCAGCAATCTTTTTAGACGATGCGTTATCCCGTGGATGTATGGCATCGCCACGAGAGGTTTGGTGGGCTTCTTTTTTGTTGGTTTTGCATTTTTTTCCCGTTTCTGCTGCACTTGCTTGCAGAAGCTCTTGCATACCGGTATTAGAAGTGTGCTTGTGTACCCAGAGTTTTCAAACCTACAGAGCTGTTTTTAAAAGCTGCGCCCGGCCCTATGGGGGCAAGATTTTTGTAATGCCGAGACAAGAGCTTTGGTGGCCAACCCTCGTTTTAAAGTTTTTGAGTGTTCCGAGTTGCCTTGGAAGGAATCCTTTACATGAGCGGGCTTCATACATCCAGCACATCTGGATAGTTTTGAACTCCAAGGAGAGATCTAGAAACCGCATGGACTGGTTTACTGGAAGTTCCTGAGTGAAAGAGAGTCCTGGGCAGCTGTGTTTAAAGGTGCTTATGACAACATCTAAACATCCATTACTCAGCTCGTCTGCATCGGAATTACACAGTATGAAAAGTCCTCTACATACCGGAAGATGGCCTCAACGCATTAATCTTTTAGATCTTCTTGGATATTCTTACCACATGCTGCAAGGTACAAATAGCACAAGTATGGGGTTACTCAAGATCCTATGCAGACTACACTTTTCTGTACGTAGTGTTGCCCCTGGTGTGATACCACAGTCGCTGTGAGGTAGACTCCTAGAAGCTCCAAGAAGCTATCGAGGCTCATACCAGCTGCATTTTGGAAGCACTGAAAGCCATGCTCCTCGATGGTTGTTCGGAGGGTCATCACGAGAGCGGCATGGGGAATCGAATAATAGACGCCCTGGATATCTAAGGAGAAACCCGAAACAATTTCACATCCTTTTTCCTAAAGAAAGCAAATCACTCGGTCAGAGTTTTGTTTTCTGAAGGCACGCCCGCGACGTAGTCGTCGGCGAATCCCCGACCCGCCCCAAGCGGCAAACGCGCCGCAGATCGATGAAAATCGCCGCAAGGTGGCAGTTGCGTTCGTCCCGGCGTCGCTGCCTGCTAGCATCGCCCTCGCTGCGAGATGCTGCGAGATGCACTGGCAGCGACGCTGATGCATGCCAGGCCACATAGCTTGGGTCCACGTTTGGAGGGGGGGGAGGAAGGTGTGGACCTTGTCTTCCGCGTGGTATTGGTTCTAGTCACCAACAGGACGAGGAGGGTTGGCATCTCTTTCAGATGCCCTGCCTCTGGCACGCGCTCGCTGCCTTCCTTGGTGCTTTGGCTGCTTGTGCATGCTCAAGGCTCGTGAGACGCTGTAGCTTTACTGAAGGTAGGCAGCTCCCGCCAAAGGTGGGACGACCAAAGCTCCTCCCTGCCGTTCTAACCGTGCCGGTGAAAACGGCTACCGACACAACGGAAAGAACCGGGATGTTACGGATACATACCTTCCTCGACAAGAGAATAAGCGCCTCAAAAACAGGGACGGGGAACGGGCACTCGGTGTCATCTTGTTTCCTGTCCCAATTTTCGAGGCGCTCATGGAATTTTTTAGAGGTCTGGTCGCTCGAGAACTTCAAATTCTCGGAGAAGCTTGAATACAAATTTTTTTTCTTCCTCGACCCTTTTAAACAAATTTAAGCTTTTTTTTTTTTTTTTTTCTACCACGGGAAGTAGTTGAGACAAGAAATGAAAATTCAAATTACTTACAGCGGGATGAAAAAACCGGCATTCACGAAGGAGCTCAGGGGATCGTTCATTTTTTAAGAGTTTTGTGTCTTTTTCAAAGCCTGCAGGGCGCTTCGAGAAGCTAAAAACTTATGGGCGATGCGGCCGACCTTCTTGACGATCGCCAGGCGGTTCAATCGTTTTCGAAGTTAGTTCGAAGTTAGTTAGAGCAAAGAAATCTGCCAAATGGGTCCCTTCACCAACGGACACCAGAGCAAAAGGCATGTGATCTTTTGCCACCGGTGCATCCAAAGATTTAAGGAAGGCGAGTTTGCTGCTTGGAAGCTAATTCTGACTGCTAGTAAGACCTGGTTTTACAACAGTGACCCTGAAAAAAGCTCTCAATCCAAGGCGTGGACAAAGAAAGGAGCGCCGCCACCGAAGAAATTTCGCCACCCCAGATCAGCAGGAACAACGTTTGCTATTCGTTTCGGATTCAAGGGAGTTGCAGCCTCTGTCCCCCTGGAGGAGAGGCGAGCTGTGAACTCTTATAGCATCCTTGATCAAATCACACCGGAATTGCCCTGAAACCAGGACAGTGCACAGCGCTCCTCGGTGATGCAGCGCGAAGTCAATGCAGCATCGAGGACAAACTGCCCCGCGCCGGAGCACCGCGGCGAGCTCCACCATGCGTCACCTCGCCTTTTTTTCGTTTTTTCTTGCGTAGGTCCGCGCACAATGTCCGTCTGCTGTCAATTTCTCCCGTTCTTTTAGTCGCAGATTTCACGGTTCCACACAAATGAACATTGTGAACGTGATTTTCGATGGGGTCACGAAGCGGGAGACGATTCCACAGGTGTATGTTGCCCATCATTGTTGGTTCGAGAAAGAGAAACACCAGATAATAGCAGTACGGCCCGTACCTCGGTGTCATCGAAATACCTCGCAATGCTTTCCACGAAGTTGATACCTTTAGGGCGCTCCTTGCCACTGCAGCAATCGCCGGTAATCGCGGCGATGGTAAGAAGCTCGTCGTCTCGCCCTCAGAAGAGCTGAGGAATTCACCTAGTGCAGCTGCGAGGCGTGCTCGTTTTTGCAAGAGCGCCATCTCGGTAGACTACGCGTCTGCTACTCCTCCGCCATCTCCTCGATTCTCGCTCCTGGCCGCAATGCCCGATGGGACTGCAACCCGGCGCACCGACAATTTTCTTGGTGCACGTTGGGGCAACGAAAAGCCGCACAGAAGGGTGCGCTACGTTGATCGAGGACGTGCGGTGCGCACCGGTGCACTTGATCAAAGACGATGGGGCGAATCTCGCTGCCCTGGTGCGCACTGGTGCGGATGATCGAGGATGCTAGGAGTAATGCACAGAAGTGTGGCTGCCCAGAGTTTTTGAAAAACTGCTCGGTGGCCACTCCAAAGAGGAACTGCGTCGTCGCACGCCTGGCGGAACGTCGAACTTCATGGCTGATTTTGGAATCGAACTGCAGACCCCGCCTGCCCATTCCCCCAGCCTGGCGCCCTGCGACATTTGGTTACTCCCCAAACTGAAGAAAACCCCCCCCCCCCCCCCCCCCCCCCCCCCCGTGGAAAAGTGTTTGAGAGAAGAGAAGACCTAACTTCAGCAGTTGAAGAGCAACTTCCTTTCCTGAAACAGGATGATTTCCAGCATGGTTTCGACCGTTAGATTTATCAAATGAAAAAGTGCTTCGGGGTGGCTGATGACTATGTTGAAAGCGGCTGAAGTTAACCCCCGTGAATAGGATATAAAGAATAAAACCTTTCTCGTTGTTTTTAGTGCAGCTGAGGCATAAAAAAGTTTTGCTGACTGGACTTATAAAAAAAATCCCTCATACTCTTCTTTTGATGTACAAACTAGCCCAACTATCCGTTTCTCGACTCACCTTGCAACGCCGCACATGTTTCCTTCGCGCTGTCTCGCCGCACGACCGTGGCGGCTCTTGTCGGGTGCATTGACCACTTCCTCTTCATTGGCTGGAAGCGGGAAACGAGCTCGGCAACTTCCTTGAGCAGTGCTTTTTTCTCAGAGTACTGCTCCTCCGTTCCCGACCTGCAGTAAACAAGAAGCGTTCTTGACAGGGAAACCTGCCGACAATCGGATACGTAACACGATCAAGGTTTTTTTTTCCGGTTAACCCCTTGGCTTCTAATCACGTGTGCCAAGGCCCGTTCACAGACAGCACTAACTCAGCACTATTTATTTGAAAAGTTAATTTGAGGGACGAGTGCTCCGCCATCTCTGAAGATGAGTTGCAGCACCTATCCCATGACTCGGGCACTTTATTTAAAGTCGACAATTTGCACGAACATCCAATGAAACGTTCGCTTGGTCGCCGGATGTCGTTTGTTGCTTTCCGCCTTCCTGAATGTTACAGCAGTACTGCACACTAAAGAACTACTGAATAGACATATTTGTAATGGCGCCTATCCGAGCTCGCAGGGACAGGCAGCGCAAGATAAGACAAGGTGCGAGAGACAAGGACGAGCTGCGCGGACGCATCTTTCGACGATGTGTCCCTTAACGATCTACCGTAGAATATTGCGCATCTGCCCATTCTACACTAAGCGCCCATACCCAAATTTGTAAGATTTGAGAAAATATGCAAAGTACATTGATATGTCAAATTGATGACCGGACAAGCGCCCATCCCCCATTTTTTCGCGATCACTTCTAAAATTTGAGTGGGCGCTTGCCCAGCATTTTACGGTAGTCATTTCATCATGTAAGTATTCTAAATATGTAGAACAAAAGATGTTGGTGAGAACTTAACTAATCTACATATTGGTGTCTCGGACGTGATCTGAACACGCAACCTCACCAACATCTTTTATACTACATATTTACAATATTTACATCATGAAATGACTATAGTGCATTACAACTCAAGAACGTAGGGCGAGCGAAAGATAGGTCGGGGAGGAAGAAGCAGACGAAGCACTAGAGAGGAGAGGTGGAAACCCCCTGCTCTCGCCAGCGTTTTGTCTGCTTCCTCCACCCCGGCCTTCCTTTCCCTCACCCTACCTTCTTGAGATGTAACTTACTATACCGTAATATCCCGAGTCATCGCCCATCTCCGAGCCATCGCCCACCCCATTTTTTGGGCCAATATCGATTTCCGAAAAAACACCGAGTCATCGCCCACCCCTTCAAATACCCCAGCGCGGACTCTGCGATCCTCGAACACTCATCCTACCCGAATGACGTGGCCGCAGACCTTACAGTTGGAGGTCGTCCGTGAGAAAGTAAAACGAAGGAGGGAAAGACACTTCTTTTTGTTTACGCATTTCCTCCGTGAGCGACCCCAAAGTGGTCGTGTATCCGTGCGAAAAGAAAACGATAAAGATAACAAAATAGGAGTTTGTTAACGTAACCGCGGAGTGTTAGGTCAAAGTCTGTCTCCGCCGAAGTAAGGTCACCGCGAACCCGCTCCTTCTTCCCGCCCGTCGCGACCGCTGTTGTGCAATATTTTAGGCAAAGCCAAAGCGTAAATAAAGCTTTGCTGGAACGTCCTACACAGACGTTTGCAGAGCGTCCCAACCGTGCATTAATAGCCCGCCGTGCACGGACGCACGTATGTACGCACCAAACAAGAAGTTGCGCAAGAGCTTGCAATTGACAAGGCGCCCGACTTGGCCCGACGCCAAAGTATTTGCCAACGCGACCGCTGGCTTTCCCGCTTTCCCAGCATTGCTCTTGGTCGCTTCTTTGGTCCGCTCGCTCGCTCGCTCGCTCGTTGCGCCTGGTCGGTTTTTCTATTTTCTTGTAGACTTTTCTTTCTTTTTTTTTTTTTTACTAACTAGGAGAACATAATGGTGACATTCTTTCACGGAACAAACGTTCGTGCTATATGCAGATCGGCGGTGTTTCTAGCGCGTATGCAAGCAACGGACTTCGCTATTGTAAAATATTTTTTCGTGAGCATTTTTTTTTCTATAAAACAATGAAACTAAATCGAGTTTTGAGTTTGATGTATCTCTTGTGCATCAGCGCTAGATACACAGAGAAAAATAGGCGTTTTTTTTCGTTTTTTTTTTTTAAGTGTTTGTGCTCACCCACCGAGACATGGCCTACCCCACTTTTTTAACGAATTTCAGGCGGTTGGGGGGTGGGCGATGACTCGGGATATTACGGTAGGTAGATCATTGAGTGGCATGTCGTCAAATCAGTCTGCACAGCTTGTTTTTGTTTCTTGCACCTCAATGGCGTCACAACAAGGGGGGAGACAACCCCGAGTACAGCGCTCAGGGGGACAGCTGGGCAGTGAAAGGTGGGGGGCATGTCGCGGTGGGGACGAGAGCTGGGGGAACTGGGGGGGGGGGAACGCCCCATTGCTACAGGTACAGGTGACCCTAGTGACGCCACTGTTGCACCTCGTCTTTTTTTCTCATGCTGCCTGTCCCTGCAAGCCTTGACAGGTGCTACTACACATTCAATGGCCAGGAATTACTAGTGAGAGCGGCTACCCCTCAGGCATTTCCCAGGGGCGTCCTCAAAACACAGCAATTAGAGGACCCCTTCGCAGTCCTCCCTGCGTGCACAGTTAGAAAGTCACCGAGGGGCACATTGTGAGGATTATGTGTATATATGAAACCGTCACCATGCCATATAACGTCATAGAGTCCCGTGACACTGACGCCATCGAGGCTACATCTGCGGACATAAAGTCTCAAAGACCTGGCCCTATAAATGCTGCACATTTAAAGATATTAGTATGCAATGGGTGGGCAGGGGAAAGGCTTACTTCCTGAGGTTCGCCATGTCCCGCTGCTTGAACAGCGCGAGCAGTCGTTCCGTCCGTTCCCGGCAGCCGCGGCTCGTGAACGCCTGGCCGCTGACGCGGTTCAGAGTGTCGCAGATTGCAATCCACCTGGCACTTTCCTCGTATGGATTCACGGAGACGATCTCGCGCAGGAGCCAGATGTCCTCTTGGACCGTGAACCGCAGCTTCTTGTTCGGGCCGCCTCGGCCCGGTGCATGGTACGCCCGTCCTGCTGTGTCTGGTGTGTTCAAGAGTCCTTCCATTATCGCTGTTCACGTTAACGACACACATGCCACGAGTTGCAACAATTAAAGTTACTGGACCCTGCGAGAGTAGTGCCGAAGTCCCCATATGGTAGCCATTTTGGGCCTTGGAATGAGCAATTCTTTCTTGACCTCTACAGTCTTGGTGAGCCAATCGAAATTCGCGGTGACAGGTTGCTCTACAAAGAAATTTCTTGTATATTGAGATTTTGTTATTCACCCGCTGGAGAAACAAGCACACACTTCCACATCGCCACCTCTCATGATAAGTTGATTGCATGTACGGTGCCAAAGATGCTTATACTGATGAGCAACGATGACGCATCACTGCAACCGTGATGCAGCTGGTTCAGAACGACAACCCTTTAGAGGCTTCAATATTCTGAAAGGACCAAAATGACAACTGCCATGGCAACAGATAACGTTTAGACAATCGACTTGCAAATTTTCGGTTGTCTCTATGTCAGTATCTGTTTGTGTCCTGCTAGCAGGCAGGGAAGACAATGGCACTACCTTACTAGGATCCAGTGACTGGGGGGTGACACTACCCAAAGACGTGAATGTTTGAACCACTTGTCTGATTTAAATGACATTTATGGGGCTTGTTTCTGTTCATGTTCAGGACATTTCTGCCTAATTTTGTTAACCTGGGTCAAGTACGAAAAATTGCAAATGTTCAAAGATGAAAGTGGGCATGTCTGCGTAGGAAAACAATCGTTTTGAAACTATTTATCAATTTGTTGTTGTCATGCGTTATATTGCTTTAGGATAGTTCAGAGCAGATAGGCATGAAGCTATATTTCTATATTAAACCATCTTTTGTGACAAACAAAGCCGCAAACACAAATACATTTTTTTTAATTTCCATTCTTTGTCCAAACTTTTAGTTCCCGAGCATGAAAAATGGAAAAAATAAAAAAATAAATACAAGCTCATAGCTATCTTCGTCTTAACCCTTTCACTGCCACTCCCGAGATAACTTGTGCGAAAAAAAAATACTGCAGCATGTCCGGCCATTGATGGAGAGGTCACATTAACACATGTAAGTTGTAGGTTAAATTTTAGATAACAGATAGAGCGCACGTTTCTACATCCGCGTTGCTTAGTAGTTGTCTCGGCAGCGCAGGCATGGCGAGATGGCGTGCCACGTGCATCCGCGCTTTGACGGACGATGAAATTCAGGAACTGTTGATGAATTTAGACCAGGGTTGGGCAGAAATACTCAAAAATGTATTTGGAAATACAAATACTGGGTTACATTAAAATAGTAGCTAAAATACTGATACTAAAATATATCTGCAAAAATGTATTGCGATACATATCGGAAATACATTTTAAATAGAGGCAGAGCGTCTTTGGAAATAAAAATACAGGAATACATTTTAGGGAGGGCAGAAATACAAATACAGAAATACTGATACTGCAATACATTTTTCAAAATTGATTGAGATGCAAACTGAGATGAAACTTGAAGTTGGAAGTAGAAGTTTTTGATCCCAGAATTACTTTCCCATAGGCTTGGCACTTCGCCTTGAAGGTGGTGGTTTCGGATGATGAAGAGTCTTCAATGAGCTCAAAAAAACGTTCCATCTAGGAATGACCGCAATCCCTTCCCTGACATCCTGTCTGTCTGACGAGAGATGCAAAAAGACTTCGATATCTAAATAAATTCTATGTCACCGAAAATCCCATCAAAACATCACCACGCCCCTGTCCATTCAGGATGCCCCTGTAAACATTGATCACATGACATCACAGTGGAATTAGCTGGTATTCTTTATCTGTAGGTGTGTCCTTGAACATGAAACTTTGCCACACTGCTGTATGAAAGGACAATACATACTTTCGTTGCAGGTTACCGCTTTGAAGATCGCGTAGGCAGTGTCATTTAGAATTCTGAGAATAGTGGACCACCTGAAGCATCCTGGAATACATGTCTTACCTTCTGTTATGGTTGAAAAAACAATACAGTGGCATCCCTGTTGTGAAGGTCCTTCCTGCCGACCCTCTGCCACCGACGCATTGATTACAGTCCTCAAGTTTCACCTAGCATCATCCAAACAGAGACTTCATGGGGACCTGATATTGATGACACAGGTGAGAGCTCTCCGAGAAACAGTGCGCTTGAGACGAGTTGCAGGTGTACGAAAGCTGGGTCGGCACAGCGAGACCACGTCTAAGCCTCCTTCCTGGGTTTCGGATCACCAGAGCAGCGGGTCACGTTTCACGTTGGCTGATGACGTACCCTTGAGCAGTGCAATATTACGGGCACAGCCGCAGACGCATTCGAATAAGTGTTCAACTTCACTGCGTAAGTCATCCTACTATTTCAAATCAACCACCGCCAGGCTCGTGCTGCAACGGACTGTGATTCAGCTTTGCCAGCTGGGTGTACTGTGGACGCTAAGGCAAGAGAGACGGTTAGCAGCGGGCATTGGATGCCAGCAAACAATGACTCAAGAAATCCCTACCTAAGGACCTGCGGCAGAAGATGCTGTGACTCCACTCCTGGCACGCCACCTGGATCGAGCCCCGACTACGCAATGCTTCTCAGAAGAGAGAAGAGGATGCATAGCAAAATAATTTGGAGAATCGGAGGGAACCTTGGTCAGCACATTAACAATGCCCCAGTAGCTCCTTTACCCTGGTGCCCTCAGAAGTAAAAAAAGAAAAAAAGCGTTCGGACTTGTACATTTTTTTTTTTTCAGGGGGGGGGGGGGGGGGGGGAGTATTTCTCAAAAGATTTAACGAAATACATTTCATCCTGCTTGTATCGCGATACTAAGGAAGATTCAAAATAAATTTTGATACAGGAATGCAGATACTGGTGAAAAAAATGTATCGCGATACAGAAATACAGATACAAAATTTATCTCTGAAATACTATCGCGATACCGACCAACCCCGATTCAGACTCAGTTGAAAGTGATAACGATGGTGCAGCTTAGCTAAGTGACTTGCCCAGCGAAGACAGTAAGGAAGAGCCCCTGCCGCCGAAGAATCAAAGGAAGACGAGAAAACTTGATGAGAGCTGGGAGAAGAATTCAACCCTCAAGAGCACACTTTTGACTCATCATCTTCAGGAATCTGCAATGGCATCACAGCGGTGTTCAGTGAGCTCGAGGTGTTTGAAAGTTTGTTTACGCTGGACATCGTGAAAAAAATGTGGCAGGAGGTAAGGAGAAGTCGGGAAAAAAAAAACGGCAGTGAAAGGGTTAAGATTTCACAGCAGAAAGACTCATAAAATTAATTCAAGTTACGTAATAAATAAACGATAGTTTTCCTAATGCGAAATTTGTGCCAAAAAGTGGCATGGAGAAAAATGCATTCAAAGTGCTCCAAACTCTATCTTTTCTTTAGCATCGGTGGACCGAAAATAATTTATAGAAAGAATTAACTATGCAGTGTAAACTAATGAAACTTTCTGGGAATACTCGAGGATGTAAATATGACATTTTTCAAAATCGACTTTCTTTTACAGAAATTGTTTTTTCTGGGTAGTGTAAGCAAGAATTCGACCTTTTAAGTAAGAATCCAACCAAACCGTTTTAGAGTTCCTAAAAGAAACCTGAATGCAGTGTGCATAGTGGCTCTGGCCAGTCGAATCCGCTCGCTTAAGAAAACTCCATAAAGCTACGGTGACTGGAACGAGTCTTTGACTGGTGCGTTTGGCGTCCTATCCCGTCCACGCGTCAAAAGCGGTCCCAAAATGGGCAACAAACTATGACGCCGAGGCCGGCAAGTCGTGAAGTCGGATGTCGCGATCCCGACGGTCAGTCGGGAAAGTTTTATGAAAAGTACAAGTGGATACGAGCGTTTCCTCCGTATCCACGGACTCCCAACTCCTGGTTGCCGAACATTCCGTGGACTGTCAAGCTTGAGAGTGACCAGCAGCAGAAAGAGGCAACTGCCACGTCCACCTCCTCTGCCGCTGTGCCATTGCCATTACTGCGGCCGGCCACAACGCTTCTAGGACGTCATTGGATGGAAATCGAGGGACTACATTTGAGGACGCGGCAAATGCAAAAGTCAGAGACGCGTTCCAGGCGTAACTGCCCCGTGGGCTTCGCCGCACTCCGCTTAGCAACGTCACGGACTTGCCTTTTGTCATACGTCGAGAGCCGTTGTCCTTCCCCTGTCCCTCCAGGTGAGCTTGCACCGAGAATGCGCTGCCGAAGGCCTCGGAGCACGAGCCATCGTCGGCACGAAGAGAGTCGGACTCATCCGGCTCTGTCCGAGAGGAAACGAATCCGACGATCGGCTTCAGAAGAAAATGAAGACGCAAACGAGAAATCATTTAACTTGACCTAGCTTTTTTTTACAAATCGCTACGCTTTTTCTCGTGACGACTGTCAAAGGGTTACGGATGCATCACCTGACAAAGAGCCTACAGTGTTGCACTCCAAATTTCACTCTTGTCAATAAAAATTACGCTAAAGTGTGCAACACGTGCACGACCAAACATCCTTGCGCATAATGCCGCAATGGCCAGTGCCTGGTTGGCCAAGTCGGATTTGGCCATCTCTCCAAATTGTCATATGATTCGTGTCACAGTTAATACACAAAATACTTAAAATGCATGAATGTCTGTAAAGTATGCAATCTAATGCTGATGTAACCCACAAAATAACTTTGTTTTATGTTTTGGCACTGAACCGCCCAGCTGCATGAAATACTGAAAATTGTATCTATAATAGCGAGACAGAATTTGGTCAGTGATGTCTTTAAATCTTGCCTTCTTTTACTGCAACGGCGTTGTCCCCGTGTGCATCTAGGAGTAACAGCACTGTGGACCCGGTACCGCAGACATCGGAGTACATGCTCTCATCCATCGGAGTAGGCAGTATCTCCTCCGGCTCTGTTGACAGAGAGACAACAAAATGAACAAAGCTGCGAGTCAGGTCAGATGCAAAGCCACAGTCAGCCGCCAAAATGATAGATTGCACTGTCAGCTCCATAACGATAACATGCACCTTCAAAACCATCAGTGACCTTTACCTCCGAAATTCTATAATGCAGTATTTGAGAAGAGACTGTTTAAATGTGTTTAAAAGTCATTATACAGTCATTTTGGAAAGTGAAGAACATATTGTTTTATAATTTCCCTATTAGATTCAATAAAAACGTTTATGTCACCTGACGTGACGTCACACGACTCAACACCATTTCTCTTCTGTTTCATTTGCTTTGTTCTTGGCTTTCCCAAAGTGTAGCAACATCTCGTTTTCCACCTTTCTATCCTGCTGATGCCAATGGATGTCCCTCGAACTGTTTCTGCATTAAATGCGACTGTGGAGGGAGTTTCCAGTGTACCGTTGGGGTGTGGAACCGGCGCGGCAGCGGCAGTGGCAGTGGCACTCACCCGCTTGCTATTGTTTACGCAGGTTAGTGAATTGTTGCCTTGTGCAAGGTTTACTGCATATGTTTTGCCGGTTCCACCCCAAACTCTTTACAACTGTGTCGAGTCGCATTCGATTGGGAGGTCCGATGTACGTGGGCGTTTTTTTCAGTTGCAACAACTTTCGGGCTTTTTTTTTCTTATTGTTTTTACTGTGTGGGTACGTCGAGTTAAATTCTGGTCCCGAGCTGACTTTACAGGTGATTCTGGACGGGCAACAGGCAAGGTCCAGCTTGGTAATATTAAAACCAACCAAACAACGCAAGGCTTTGCTCTTGAAGATGTCAAGCAACAGCTCCCCTTTTTGGAAACACAGGTTGCATTGCTTACAAACTTAGAATCAGCAGTGACTGAGTGTAAAAAGAGCTGCAACAACCAGCAGGGTATCACGCAGTCACTCATGTAAAAAAACAACGTTCTTGAGAATCATAGCAGGCAATGCAACTTTGTGTTTTACAATGTGAAGGATGCGCACGTGCATGAGTCATGGTCTGCGTCCGAAAAACTTGTTAGAGAAATATGTGAAACAAAACTTGACGTAAAACCTACAATGATTGAGAGAGCGCGCAGGATCGGAAAATTCCAAGTGGATAAAAATCGGCTTTTAATTGTGAACTCTGCGTCTTTCAAAGAAAAACAGGCAATTCTGGGCAATGAGAAAAAATTAGAAGGGTCTAGTACCAGTTTATCGGAGGATTTTTCTGAGGTTGTACGAAGGAAAAGACGGTCTCTGTTGAAGTTTGCAAAGAGTCACAAGAATGAAGACACGCAAGTTAGCCTCAGGCATGACGCACTGTATCTCAATGATGTTAAACATGTTTTTGATGACGATCTCAACCAAGTAGTAAAGTTTAGATGACCGAGCACTGGCTCGCTCACTATATCTCCTTTACTGTGCTTAACTGCCAAAGCATTAAAATAAAGATTGAAGATTTCAATAGCCTAATACATACTGTTAAACCGACAGTTGTTATTGGTATGAAATCATGGCTAGACGAAGATATAGCAGATAGCAAGGTATTTCCCGATCACTCTGCATGTTTATTTATTCATTTACAGAAACAACATGCAGTGCCGAAGCATTATAGCAGGGAAACACATAATCACAAACAAATACAATGGCGTAAATACAATAAATACTATTAAATATGAGAACACACACAAACACTTGAATGTTAAAAAATTAGGATACTGAAAAAAAAAAAAAAAAATCCTACGTCATTTGTAGTAAATGCTAATGCAGGCAATGAATTCCAGTCCATTAATGTATGAGGGAAAAATGAATATTTTTTTATAATCAGTTCAGCAAAATATTTCTTTAATCTTGTTACAAAGATCTATTCTGGTTGAAATATAGTTTGGTAATTCAAGATATTTATATTTATCAATTCTAGTTAAGTTACCAAATATAAAAAAATAAAAACTTTAGATGAAATTTCGTTCTCCTTACAGAGAAGACAGCAATAGTCATGGAGGAGGTTTATTTATCTTGGTTGATCAAAGGATTCCTTCAACCAGAATTTGAGTTGATAACTCGCGTGAAGCACTACGGTGCCAACTGAGACTTTGTAAAAGAAGGACTTTGTCAGTATGTTTCTTTGAGTATCCACTTGCAAATTCCGCAGAGGTATTGTGAGAGAGGTTACAACCATGGTGAAAACAATTAAATCTGATTGTATTGTTATAGGTCGGTATTTCAATTTCCCCATTTTTAACTGGCACCAGCAAAATGCCTTTTCCGGCCCAACCCAAGGGCTCAATGCAGTTATGTCCAACTTCATGAATTTGTTTGCACTAACCCGGACTGTGTTACAGCCCACTCGAAGCAACCACATTCTTGATGTTTCTCTCACAAATGAACTGCAGCTAGTAGAGGCCACCTTAGTTCTGCCACGGATTAGTGATCATTAAATTTTTCTTCACAAAATGAATCTACAGCAGATACAAATTAACAACAATAGCAGCAGACATTTAAAAACAGTCCATTGGCTGAAAATCTTAATTAAAGGTAGTAACTGGTGAACTAAAAATTTAAATAGCCCAAGCCAAATCGGCTTACTTCTTCAAATCATTTTGGTCTAAAATTAAAGAAAATCCCCCAAAAACTTTGGAAATACATAAAAACAAATAAAAAGGATAACACATCTGTTCCAGCTCTCCTGGATCAGGCAATTGATAAAGCAGAATATTTTAACAATTACTTTAGCTCCACGTTTTCATCGCTAGCAGTACTAGTGACACAGTAGACAATGCAGTTAAGGGTGAAGCAACACCGATGGACGATAATTCATTTGATCAGGGGTGAGACAGGTAAAACAGGTTTTGGAGCAATTTTTGAAGCAGAAGAATCTGGATTTTGGAGCAGCTTAAGAGCACAAAATTCTTGTGTTGGAGCAGCAGTTTATGCATTTTGGAGCAACTTCGAAGCACAAAAGTCTCCAGTTTGGAGCAGATTAGGAACAGAAAATGTTAGAGCAGCTTATCAGCAATTTAAATCATAAAAAACAAAATCTGATTTCAATCAGATGAATCTGATTTTTCTTTTTTAATCGTTATTTCTTTCCGCCTTGGTTCCAATAAGTCATCAGCGCCGATACACTCAAAAATAAAATATATATAAAAAAACTAAAAAAAACGGAAAAGGCAAACTTGAGTTTAGTGCGCATAGCTGAGGACAAGAAACAGAGGCTTGCTGCAAAGTTAGGTTGCCACCAGGTACCTCAAGCTTATACGAACTGGAGCCAAAGCACAATTGTAGTGCAAAACATTTTAAAGCAGTGATTCGAGAGCATGAACAGGGAAGCACGGTTTACTACAACCAGACATCGGTCGGACGCTCGCAGAAACAACGTGCAGATAGAAAAAAGCTCCCCACAAAAGGGAGTCGCAAGGTAAATAGTGAATTGGTAGAAAAACTATGAGCAGCACATGAACACTCAATGCGGGTGTGTGACCAATTCATTCCATTGTTCACGCACTGGAAGCACGTGTGGGATAACCGAAAGTACTCACGGCGCCGGCGCCGTCCATTATGACGAGAAGATTACGGACACGAATGAACAATTACACAACGGAGGTGCTCAATGGCACTTTTAAGAAAAGGTTTCCTCTCAAAACGAAAGAAATTCTCATGTTTGCTCATCTGGATAGCTTGTGCGTCGTACCTCCCGCAACCAGAGAGCGAGACCGCGTGACGGCGCACCGGAAGCATCACTGATCTCAGTGACAATTGCTGGATCGTGCTTCCCTGCTTGTTCGCTGCAGTGCAAGTAAAGCCACCGGACGGCCATCTTGCTCGTAGGCGATTTGCGGTCTGGCAGGCGTTTTGCTGCGGTTTTCCAGCTCGCTATAGACACGTTTTCTACTCGCTCATCGTCATTCGCCGAAGAAGTTTTTTAAGACTCTATGTAGCCGTTGAGACTTGCCATTGTGAACACGTGGAAAATTTTACGGGAGCGCGGTGCCGCAGGAAAAAGGCACAAGTCGTCGAAAGTAAGTTTCGCCGGTCTTGCGGCAGGGTCAAAGCTTCCTTGGCACGTCGAAGTGCTGTGTCTCTGTGCCTTCGCACGTTTGGATACCGATCAAGAATCTATGCCGTGTGGATGTGTTTTGCGAGTGCAATGGGCGTGAAGCCATATGTAAAGGCGCAACTTGTCGAAAGCAAGTGTTACCAGTCTCGCGGCCTTATCAAAGCTCCCTTGGCACGCCGAAGTGCTGCGCCTCTGTGCCTTCCCACGCCCTTGGATACCGATCAAGATTCGTTTCGGCGCTGTGTGGATGTGTTGACAAAGACAAAATAGAAAAAGTGCAAGTGAAAAATGTTCTAGGAAAACCAAAATACGGAAGAGATTTTAGCGTAGCGCGTTCCAAACAAAAGTTAAAATGGGACACGCTCGAGTAACGCAGAGCGAAGCTTCGTTTAAAGCTATTCCATAGCATATATCACTCGCGATCTGGTATTCCACGTAAAACGTACAACTTTCGCCACACTATGTCTCCGCTTGTGTGGATCGCATCCACAAAGTATGCGAGTACAGACGTAAGACCGTTGCATTCAGTAGCTCCTTTTTCCAAAAACAGTTGGTCGATGGAATCAATTGCCTTTGCCTATAGCATCAATTCTTTCCAATGATGCATTTTTTTTTTTTTTTGCCTTAGAAGCAGACACTTCATTTTATTGATGAACTTTTGAAAAAGTAAATAGATGCTACAAAAGATGATTGGGATATATTTTGCTTCGTTTGCGTTTGCTCCATATGTCGTGATAGCTATCTTTTCTTTTTTATATGCCCGATGTGAATTTGATTCTTTTTTTTTAACTGTCATAAGCAATTTGCTGTTTCTTGTTTGCATTTTTTTTCTCTTTCTCTTCTGCGAATATTTTTACTTTTACCAGCTGTTAAATTTCCTTAAGTGTGTAACCCCTCCCCCCCCCCCCCCCCCCCCCCCACTGTAAGGCGAAAAGGTGCTGTGGGTATTGAATAAATAAATAAATGAACGAATCAGAAGATCCTCTCGACAGATTCTGGCAGTCGAAACGAAAACCTTAGGACAGCCTACCTTTTTTAACTGCAACGGCGCTGCCCCCATGTCCCTCCAGATGCGGGTTAGAAGAAGGAATTCTGGGACAGTCCTCGAACTGCACAGTTTCCTCCATCGGAGCCGATGGTATCTCCTCTGGCATAGTTGAGCGAGACGACACAATGTTGCCTAACAAATCAATACAGCCGTCTGAAAAAAAAAAAAAAAAAAAGCAAATGTAACATTTTTAAAATTTATTTGGCAAGAGAGCAAAAAGGCAAGTTATGCGACAAGACAGAAAAATGCTCTGTACAATTTGATATGCCACGGGCAGTAAAACCAATCAGCAAAAAGACGTCACTGTGCTGGTTGGCTTCAGGAAGTCAAGTGACAATGGCGGGATGGTGCTCTCTTGTCCATCCAAGGGAAGAGTTGTTTGATGTTGGACAACTCTTCCATTGGACACTCTGATGACTCCCACTATAATCTCAGAAAGGCAGCGGGTAGCCAACAAAAGCGGACGTCTGCAAATGCTAGATCTACTGTTTCTCGCTACTCTTGACAACTATACCGACAAATGACGGGCCTGCGAACCGTGCTAAAAAAGCGGGCGATCTCGGAATTGCCTACTCTAGACTGAAATCGTTGGAACTGGGCACTTAAAAAAAACACATTGTAGAGAAACTTAACGGAAGAACTATGTACGGTTGGTCCAACCCGTCTCGGTCTCACTGTTCATGCTTGATCAGCACTTGTTGCTGTGGTCTCTTCCCCCTCCCTGTTCCCACGTGCAATGACTGCAGGTGTTGGATGTTGGTTACATGTTTCACCACTAACAATATACATATTATATATATATAGCCATCTTCCCTCCCAAAGGATCAATAAATAAATAAATATATATATACTTTTTGCTAGTACTTGAGATGTGATGCGGTGCGATTGCACATGCTTTCGCAGCTTTTGACTGCTCTTTATTTAAGGGTGTATTATTAACATGCTACTTGTTCAGTAATTTTGTACAAGCTTTGCTGACACATTTTTGTTTTGTTTTTTCAGTTTGAATTATTTATAGTAGTGTCTAGAGTACCGTCCGACGGCACTCTTGCAGAGCGTTCAAGTATTGTACGACGGCACTCCACTCACGCCTTCAAGTGCAGTCCGAAAGTCTCGTATAAAGCGAATTGTCAAAAAGAGTCTCTCGAAGCTGTAGCGTAGCTTAGTGGTAAGATGTCTGCCTCATACGCAACAGACCTGAGTTCAATCCACAGTGTGGGCTTACTTTTTTTTTTTTCTTCTCTAACGTTTTGTTTTGTTGAGGCATTTGGCGATATTTACGACATTTCTTGTCGTCAATATCAAAGAAAAAAGAAAGCGAGTCTTGTTGACGAAAATTTGCTGAACAAAATGGTATGGGGCTCCCTTTCTGTAGGTGCATGGGGGACAGCGGAGCTTGGGTTGCCGGCTGGACGCCGCCAAGCGGCGTGTACGACGGGGCCAAGTGGGTTGATAGTTTTGTAATATGCACCCGCAAACTGTCGCCACGAAGCGGCGTGAACGCAGGCGGGGAAGTGGGTTAACGAGCTCCTCAGTGATACACGCGCCGTCCGACTCTCTTTCGGACGGCACTTGTAGGCGCGAGTGGAGTGCCGTCGGACGGCACTGTAGACACAGCCATTATTTATTGGTCTGCAGTATGTAGTACATAAACAGGGTAATAAAAATAACCGAGTACGAACGCTACAGGGACTGTGCTATGCCACGACCAATAACGTAGGATTGTAAAAGGCTACTTACCGCCCAAAAAGTTGGAATGCTTTTTTTTTTTTTTTTTTAGCCTCAACGTCAGATGGGGGCCCTCTCGGCCGGTGTTGTTGCGCGTGCTCCTTTACTAACGGGTCGTCTTCCCAGTACCTCCGGTACACTACTTGTAAATCTAAGAGATTTAATTAAGCACCGTGCATCAACCTAATCCATAGTCACTGCTGAATCAGCCGGGCCTTGGAAAATCAAAGAGCGACACACCGTCGACATGACAGTCGCCGCATTTGTGGGTGCAGCAAGTTTTCATTGCATTCCGGAAGACACAACAGCTCGACGAGGTTTTCTGCTGTCAAACCTTCTAGAGAAATACACAGGGCACAAGTTGCGCGTTGTTCGGCACAAGAGCCACACACGAGAACCCCAAAAAACAATAAGAACAACAACAACGGTGCCCTCGGAGCAAAATAGCAAGTAGCACACTGGATTGGATTGTCTTGCCTTGGTTAAATCACCATCCTAAGATTAAGTTGATTAAGTTTTAAACAAACACACAAAAAAAAGCAAAACTTTTTTTGGTAAAATAAAATACAAAAACAAATATTTAAGAACTTGAAGTAAAATTTGTCATACAAGCTCTTTTGGCCCACTGCTTGTACTGCTTGTATCCATGAGCTCCATGGAGGGGTAGTGCGGCTGCAGCGGCTGCAGCACTTCGTGTTGACGGTTCGAGAGGGCGCCAGGGCGCCGCGAATGCATGGGCATGGCATGGCATGGGCGGTAAGGTCATGGGCGACTCGCGTTGCTCGCGTTGCATTTGTTGCGCGACTAAACACTCTTTGTTGAAGCTTTTCGGCTCGAAATGTTTGCCGTTTGAGGTCCGAACCCTATAGAAGAAATACGCGACACAAAATTGACGCTGTGTTTGCTCTGCGCGGGGTACGAAGCAAAAATGCGATGTGGAAGTGTTTTTGCACTTAGCGTATTTTACGGTAGGTAATGCCGTAAAAGAGTAGAAACCCTAGAAACAGTGAAGCTATTTAACGGGCAAGAAGTCTTTAATTCACGCGTATAAAAAAAGTGAAAGAAAGAGGCCGAGTTTGGCCTTTCTTTTACCGTCAACTGAGGTGGCATCGGCGTTCTTCCGCCGCTTCCTCGAGGGCCTTGGCTGCGACGCTTTCTTTCGTAGGTAGCTCGGAGCATTCGGGAACAACGTCGGCACAGCGCCCGGCAAGAGCCCCGGCTTTCCACGCGGAATTCGCACCTCTTCTCCGTTTATAATGTGAACGTAGTCTCGCGTTATAAACGATGGCTCAAAATGAAGCTCACACACCGTACACCTTTCGTGCAGGGGCTTATCCTTGCGACGCAAGTTCCGTTCCCAAACTTTTCTTTGCTCTTCGTCCTTGGGTACTAAGAACAGCGACGGCTCACCTTTCCGCCACTGATAGCCCGTCCGACACCCCGGAGCGCAGCAGTGGTGTAGTCGACGTCGATTCGGCATGGCACCGATGGCACTTCATTGGCCATAAACGACAGCAGATATGGGTAACAGTTGGTAACACGGGGTAAAGATCGCTTCAAAACGGAAGCCACTTCGCGCTGCCAAACCGCAAGCGGTTTGGCTTGCCTTCGGAACGCTCGGGAGTCGTAACCGGTCGGATCCACAGTGCCACCGCTTACCTATGCCGCTCTTACTACATCGGCGTCCTACACCGGAACCTCTCTACACTGGCCGCGTCGCCGCTTCACAGCAATGCATGGCGCGCGTCGGTGCACCTGTTGCGCTGTCTGAACCTGTGGTCTGAACCCTGAACTGCCTGAACCACCTGAACTCACTAGTGACGTGGTCGCAAACAATCCAAACCAAAATTAATTCAAACACGCGAACCGCGTAGCAATCATTTGGCGCCGTTCTGTCAAGCCAGTTGAAAATCCAATATCTAATCCATCCAATCCAACGAACGGCTTCCCCGAAAACAAAGAAAAACAAAAATGGCGGTTAATGAAAGGGCGCCAGTTTTGCCCGACGCTCCAGGTATTTCAGGTACAGTCCTCGTTTTCACTCTATAAACTCGACAAAAGATCGGGCTTCTGCACTTCGGCTGAATGCAACTCTCAGTGGAGAACTCGGCACTGAGCCGTCCTTTTCGGTCTCGTGCTGTTTTCGTACGGTGTTGATGCATGTCGCACTCGATTGAACTCGGAAAGCAAAATACCACGGGATCAAGGGCCGCTGGCGGTCGGACGGCTTTGCATTCAGAGACAATTTATCGAACGAAAGAAATTTGAGTGGTTGACTTTTCGTGATCACCGCCCTGTGTTTCGTAGGACAAAAGTTAGGAACGTTTCCTGTCCACGCGTGTTTATCTCCACAAAGCATGGCAGTTTACGAATAAAACTGAACGGGACGTGGACTTTATCTTACAAACCAGGTGCAGATCCCGCGTACAAAGTCAGATTGCCGGAGCCACGGTGTGTATGGGCTTTGGTATATCCAGACGTCTTCCTCTTGGCTTTGTTAGTAGCACGCTGTGTCTAAAGTGCCGTCCGACAGGGCACTCTTCCGAAGCGTTCAAATGCCTTCCGAACGTGGTAAACAAAAGTCCAGTTTATTCTAGCGCGTGTTCCATACCAACCGCTCGCCGCGATTTCTTTTACAAGCGCTAGCCAAGTAGACTCCACAAGAGCGAGCACATGCTTTCTTGCCAGTGCTTATGCCCAGTGTCAGGTAAATTAGTACACCTGAAAAGTACTTTAGTAAAGTACAAAGTTAATCAAAAGTACTTCAAGTAAAGTACAAAGTTAATCAAAAGTACTTCAAGTAAAGTAGTAACTACGTTGTGGGCAATGTACTTGAATTAAAGTACTACAAATACAATGTACTTTCAAAGTACAGTGCATGTAACAAATCTTTCATTCCCCTATGCAGTGTTTTTTTTTTTAAACTGGTATGCATTGCCCCAGGGGTAATCGAGGGGTGCATAATTTGTTTTCGGAAATGGCGGCGAATATTGGAAGAAGCCAAGTGGCCACAGAGTAGTTATTTTCGAAAAGGCTGCCAAATTCAGAAGTGTCTCCAACATCTGAATTTGGCTCCGCTTTCACTGGCTTTTTGCACCCAAGGGGGTACAACATACTAAGAGAGAGCACAATGTCAGTCCTGTAGCTTCAGCCAGCAATTTTCTTGTGGAGGAGCGTCCTCTCCTTTAAAAAAGAAGAGTGAGTGTGCAGGCGAGCCGGTGTTAATTGATTGATCATAATGTGACACCTGAGTCTGGTGTGGAAAAACTAAAGAACTTTTGAATTTCATTTCATTTATTGACCCTTAAAAGCCTGATTGGGGCATTACATAAAAGAGGGACAGTACCGGGAGGCATACATGGAGAACTTGTATACATATAAAAAAAAAAAAAAAATAAACAAGAAGACATGTTGCTGGTTAGGCATTGTATATGGATGACATGGCATTTCGAAAAAAGATCGGAGTCACTGATGTACACAATATGATCCAGCAGATTATTCCACTCTATAATAGCAAGAAGAAGAAATGAGTGGTTGAAGCTGACAGTAGAACCAGGGATGCGACATACACTAAGGAGGTTAAAAAGGCATCGGGATGAACGATGGGGATCTAATAGCAGTGACTGTCTGAGTTGAGGGTGGTGATAGACAATCTTATAGAAGAGAGAAATGCGTGAAATTCTGCGGCAAGTATGGAGTACGGAGCGATGGGCCGTCTGCTAGTATTTCTCCAGCGTTGACAAAGCACCATTTTGTAATACAAGTTTAACAAGACTAAATTTGGGGAATGTATTTCAAAGTCGGGAGTTGTACTTTCCTCAGCAAGTACCATAAAAGTTGAAGTAAAGTTAAAGTGTATACTTAGGAGAATATATAGTTCAAGTAAAATATAATGTTTCTAAACCTACTTAAAAGTGTACTTTAAGTACAATGCATTTAAAGTACTACACTGCTTATGCCTGTGCCATACACACACTCGACATTTTTGATTTTGTGATTTAAATAAATTCTAGTTTGAATTGAATGTTCTTTAGTAATAACAGCTGCTACAAAAAAAAAAAAAAGAAGCATAAAATAAATTAAAATTAAACGGGCAAAGTTGCACGACATCGAACCTGAATGTTGGGTGGGGATCAAATACTGCTAGCCAAGAATTCTAACCGTTGCGCCATCAAAGCGAGCTAGAAACATAAACCTTTAGTTTTCAGGTAGTATCTTCTATGTAAGAAAGTTTGGTCAAATATTTATGCTTGACTATACTCATAATTGTCCAGAACTAAAAGAAGTACGGAGGAATATGCATACTAACATTAGCTGCAATATGCCACGCACCAAAGCAACTCCAACGTCACGCCACCGTGGTGGCGCTGCTGTTGAAACTGCGAATCAGACAGAAAGTGTCCAAGTGCTCGATCAAGGTCTCGTGGTTTATAGGCTGCATTTTGCAAGACGACCTACGAGGAGCTGACGAACGTGTTGATCCTCTGCAAGTGTCTGCCTTTCCGCCTCTTTTCCTCCTTGCCACGCAACAATGCAGCGCATATGAACTTGCGACCAATCGACCCGTGAGGCGTCCGCCATTAAATTGCTAACGCTCCCCATGGTTTGAAATGAACCCTCTCTACAATCTAGGCCCTCTACTGCGAATGCGCTGACACTTCATCTCGGGCGAATCTGCTGGCAAACGCGGGTTTGTTTGTAAACATTGTGTTAATGTATACCACAAAATCCCGCTAGGGCGCTTTCCCCCGAGGGGCCACCCATCCCGTTTTTCTGGCTAAATATCCGTAACATAAAAATTCTGCAACATGGCCGCCCCCCTCCTGATTCCGTCGGACATCACGCGATGTTTGACGGTACCGGTATGTGTGACGAGCGGGTTTGCAGTGGGTTCTCGGGTTTTTGCCTGCGATCTGCGCATGCAATATCGGTTCCCATGACAAGCTAGTTCGTAGCGAGCTCCCGCATTTTTGTCCACGGTCTGCCCGCGCAATATCGGTTCCACGGTACATGAGCCTAGCCGGTTTCCACGGTTTATCGCACCGTAAAACACGAGTCCGCTGCATCTGCAGTCTGCGGTCTCTTTTTCCTTGACACAAGAGTTCATAGTGAATTCCCGCGTGTTTATTGCATCGTGAAATGCTAATTTGCCGTGTCCGTGACCTGCTGTGTCGGTTCCCATGTCATATGGTTTGTAACGAATGTCCCTTGTGCTTGTCATTATTTTTTTTTGTAAAGTTTTGCTGTCTTATCCTTATGTTTTTCGCCCTCTATGTTTTCATTTTGGGTGGGCGCCCTTATCCTATTTTACAATAGTTGGTGACAGGGTGGTTTCGGTTGCACCGCATCCAGCGCAAGCTTCCTACCTTTGACGACGCTTTGGCACCTCACGCACCTCTAGCATGTGCATACAGCCCAAGCATGGCAGAAGGCATAAAGCGTATGATGTAGGCCAGACGTCAAAGAAACACAGCGTGTCGTTCTCATTTTGTTAGTGACTTTAGAGACGTGGGGTAGGAGTGTCGTTAAACAGCCCTTCGTACGCCGCGTGGTTAATAAAAAGGCTGTGTTGTATCGGGAGGAACACGTGGTTTGCTTGGCATAAGTTTATGTTAACGGGAATATTGTGTTTTCTTTCAGCCAAAATGACGGAGGAGATTACGAGCGGAGAAGATGGAAGCGTTCCCAAGGAGGGCGCTGTAGGTGGGAACGACTCCCGTCTGCATAAACCACTGCCGGCAGTTGGTGGCCCGTGTGAGTGTTGTAGCTCCGAGAGTTGCGAATCTCCCGTGACAGACGACCGTAAATTTTCAGTGTATGACCTGCGAAGGTGGTCTCCTAGTACCTGCAAATTGCGGGATCTGCAAGCGGTGCACTGGCACCTATCAAAATACTGTCATATAGACGATTGATGTAGGACAACAGTATAAGGTTAAGTCTGTGATCCGCTATGCTAGGGGACAACTTTCTGTGGTAGTGAAGAGAAAGCTAGGGGGGGGGGGGGGTGTGTGTGGATGGATGGAGCTAATGCCTCTGTGTTGCTTTGCCAAGTAGTTCCGGTCTTTTTTGGTTTCAGTTTGGGTTTCGGCGTGAAAGGCACGCTTTTGCCACGGTTCGCCTTTGAGTACAGAATTGCAGTTGAGGGTGCTGAACCACGAACGCCATGCGTGCGGGTGCATCCGCGTCTCTTTCTCTAGGTTTGATCCGTTTCTAAACATTAGCTAACGCTTCGACCAAAGTGCTTGTGACCCACGCAGAATCTATCTACAAAATGCTGTGAATTTCATCGGCACTTCAGTTTTGAAGCTATTCGTACGTCAACTCCTGCGCATTTGCAACATGCCGAAATAGAAGCACATTCATGGTATGGCGCAAAGTCGTATTCCATTTGGATCGCATTCAGTTACCTCTAACTAACCCTAGGGGGGATCGGTGGTGCACCGCAGTTCGGGAGACGTTTGGCGAAAGCTCGCACTGCTGAACTCGGGGGTCTTGTCCCAATCCCGACCCCCGCCCGCTTATGCCGTTGAGCTCGCTTACCAGCCGGTAGATAGAAACAATGGAGAGTCCCAGTTCCCTTTGTCTCACTTGTGCGTACACATTGCACACCACTTGCTTGGTTCGTTTTGACAGCTTCTAGTTGCCAAACTGCGAAAATCCTACGGGGTGAGCTCACGGAAGGCGCCGACAATATGCCACACAGACCCCACACGAGGAAGACGCCACGTTTGTTTTGCGGGGAACTAGAAAACCTGCAATGAACCTGAACCAAGAAACCCCGAAGGAGCTAGAAAAACGTTATAGTTTTGCACATCCCGGCTAGCATTATAGCTACATTGCCAAATCGGAGCTAACAAGAACCAATTTTGTCATTTTTAGTTGGTTAAGTTACACCCAGCAAATTATCTGGGTTGAACTTTATTCAGCTGCACAGTGAAACGTGCTTTGCCTCTGTAGTTTTGGCTCCATTGCCACATATAGTTGTCCTCGACTATAATAACTATATGATTTTAAATTGTAATTCTAACTTTTCTTTTATATTCCTGGGTAAAATTCTAGCAATATAAACGGATGGAAGCAAAATGCCCCAATAGATTGCGGGATATATTCTGACTGTCTGAATGAAGAAACCTGACTTGCAGGGCCTGCGCTTCTGTTGACTCTTGTGACTTTCATTGGTTTTCAGACGAGGAGATGGACGATGCGTCGTCAAATGGCACAGACTCTGAGGAGGAGGACGACGATTATTATGATGATGATTCGTCCGACGACGACGATTGGCTCATGTTTAGGGAGAAAGAGAAAAGCTGGGACGACGAAGACGACGACGACGACTTCAAAGAGGAAATCGTCACGACTGTCTACCATTGGCCGGCACCGCCAACAACCAAAAGGAGCGCACCCAAACCCCCACTACAAGCGCCACCTAAAATGCCAAGTCAGTACCATATATTAAAGCCAAGCCGGAACTTAGTTTCTTGAACTTTCTATAGCTTTCGTTCATAAACTAACCACACCTGCAAGGGCATTGGGGTTTCGCATGATCTCTGTAAAAAACCCAATAGAAAAATTGACAGCAACCTTTATATCTGAATTCCTATTAGGCATAAAACGCAGTATGTGAGGTGCAATCGTTTAAGTTTGTTTAGCAGGCGTTAAACGGTAATTTTGGGAAGTGAAGAACCCATCCTTTTTTTAATTTTCGCAATAAATGTAACAAGAAAACTGAATGGGCACAAGGGCCATCCGATGTCAACTCTACCGCTAAATTCGGCTGGAGACTAAATTGCTGTAATAGGCAGTTTGACATCAGTTTTCCCGCGAAATTTGTCGGAGAAAGTGAATTGGTACGTAGGTCCCGTGACGTGAGGTCACACGACATTAATTTCCTTGCCAGACTTAGCGAATACGCTGAATAAATTATGCCATTAAACTCAGCAAGTAAACTGGACTCATCTGTAGGTCTCGTGATGTCAGTTCACGTGACATCAATTTTCCCTCTAGATTTAGCAGGGAAACAGTTGGTGTATAGGTCACGGGACGTCAATTTCGCCGCTGTATTTAGCGGAGAAAAAACAAATGGATGGACTGGCGGACGTAAATTTAAAATGGGGGCGTTCCGTTAAAAAGCATTTCATGCTTTATATTATGGCGACCGGAGGGATCAGAACGGCGGGGCCGCCCTTAAGGGTGAGCCACTTCTGCGTTTGCCCGGGACACCATTGAAACCCCCTTTCAATAGCAACCAAAGAAACTGCCACATTTTTTTTTTTTTTTTTTTTAATTTATTTGGATACGGCTTTTGACACGACGCCATGTGCTCGTTCTTTGTTTGTTCTCGGAATGCGGTTCTCGTCTGACAAAACGCTCGTGTTGGGCGTTTTGTCTCACGTGCTTACTAACAATGTGGTGTCATACCTAGTAATTAGGGGCATATAAAAAGGGGGGAGAGTGGGCGCTATGGCCGGATTCTGTGCTGAGGTGCTTGATGGTGGGGGGCCAGTTCTGCAGAGAGGTCTTTCGGTTGTTCTCCCACCTCCTGCGCAAGCTTTCTACCTTCGACAGCACTTCGGTGCCTCGTGAGCTTTGTGCACGCACGGACAGCCAAAGCACAGTGGAAGGCAGTCGGCTTGTGCTGGAGGCCAGGGGTCCAACTTCGGTCAAGGTGAGAGCGAGAGCGTCCTCGGCTGCCGATTGGATGTTGCGCCGCAGCTTTTGCGCGATCCACCGACGAGACATTTTTGGCCCGTCTGCGAGTTTAAAAAATTGGGCAAATTTTTGGTGAGAATGTTTCATAGGCTGCCAAAGGGCGGTAGCTGATGTCCTCGCCCTTAGTGCTCCTTCATCCACCGGTCGATGTCAGCTGGTGTACCGCAGCGGAACAACTAGATTTGCAAACGAAGCGCGAGTTGTCCGACCTCACTTCGCTGCGGCACTCAGTTTGTGGGAGACAGGTGACTTTTTCAGCGGTTTGTCAGCGGGCGACTGGCAATGTTTTCTCCTTTTATTTCCTTCTGCAAATGGTGCTCCGCAGCAGACAAACGGCATCCTTCGCTGGCGTTAAAAGACGACCCGCCTACGAACGCTACCTTTGCTCGCTCTGCGAAAGGCAAATTAGATCTCGCGGTGATCGAAATCAGACCCCCGCCGTCCAAGAAAGACGTCTGTCTTTCTCATCCTGTGAGTGACCCTAGGTTATTTCCTTTTAGTTGCAACCTATGCGGCATGAAAATAGTAGCTTCGCTGCAATAGCTTGTTGCGAGTAACGGCCTGATGAGTCGTAAATGACAGCCCAATGGGTCATGAATAATAGTGACATTCGTAAAATACCGAAGCATCCTCCCATTCCAGAATAAGCGCTTGCCCCTCAATTTTGTATCATTCAGAAAACATGCAAAGGACGTATATATGTTGCTGACCTAAGGAGCAGCCATTCCCCAGGTTTACATGATTATCTCCAAAATTTTAGCAGGTGCTTGCTCATATAACGTATGCCGCCGGAGTCGCGAAAATCTACACTATAAGCGGTACCGTGTTGTAACCAAAACATCAATTTTTCAGGCCAAAATACATGCCATGAGACAACTTACCTTTGCAAAAGAATTTATTTTATGTTACATGAAAAATAAAGCTTAGTTTGAGGAAGTCTTTATTTTACCAGACTATGGGAGGCGAACCGGTGGTTTAAAAAAGCCGCGTTATACCCAGTCCTGCACTATAAGCGGTTACGTTGTAGGGGGTCTATACTGTAGCATGTTTTCTGTTGTGTTCTCTGAACTAACCCAACAGGGTGCAAGAATATTGGGCCGGTTTAGTATTGCATTCGGGTTTTACTCCAATAGCGATAGCATTATAGTATCAACAGATGTGAACGAGGTGAATTTGCATCGCTTGAATCGAGGAAAATATGGGCATTATAATGACTCGTGTGAAATTCATCATTTCTAGATTAATTTCAAATTTTATTGTTTTTCTTGTTCAAGTGTTTGTTTCATTTTTTTTTTGTATATTCCCAGAAGTGCTAATGTCCTTTCCTATCATACTTTTTGAGGGACTGAGAATATTTTAAAATAAATAAATGAATAAAAAATATTCAGTAGCCAGACCTTGTGTGAGAAAACTGGCTAAAAAAGAACTGGTGTGCTAGTTGATCACACATATGAAAACAGTGCAAAAAAATGAGAAGCTGGAACAGGACAAGCGGTTGTCCTTACTTGCCCTGTTGCACTGTGTTTTCTCAATTTTCTTGAGGAAAGCGGGAAATCATCAGGGAGTGAGAAAGCTTTTTGCAAGCAATTTGCGTGGATCGTCTAATGATCCACCGAAGCTGGTTGGTTTGCAATTGTAAAGGCGTTCATGTGTATTGAGCCACTTCTTACTGATGGTTGTTTTCCAGTAAAAGCGACCCTCAAGAGGCCCCTCAGTGACGAAAACAAAGAACAGTCTGTAAAGCTTGAGGCAGGTGCTTCAGTCTCCTCTGTGCACGGACCATCACCGCCAGCCCCCAAATCAGGTGAGTGACCGTCATAGTGTACACCGGGGCTATAGTCTGCACTAGGTGTATAATCCACACAAACAAATTTTGTCCAGAAAAAAAAATTTTTTTACTTATAGTTTGCATCTGGTACATAGCCTGCACATAAGAAAATTCTCATATACAGCACTCATTTAAAAATGTGTTTGTTAGTGCACAAAGCTTTCATAATACAGAAATCATCATTAACATAATCAGTCATTTGCAACATCCCTCTAGTTTCGACGCAATGAACGATCACAAAAAACAAATTCTTCCATAGTCCGTACCTGTAGGTAGTCTGCATTGCGTTAAATTTCAATTAAACATGTTTAGTTCATGAACTGTAGTCTAAAAACTATGGTAAAGCTCCCAAGGGTATTTATTACTTCATACAACAAAATATTTTGCATAGCCATTTCGGCAGTGGACAACCGAGTCTTTTTTACACTTTCGCTGCAGAGGAGAAGTCTGGCCAGTGCTGTCTGGCTGCTAATCTACCTACGTGACCCAGTAATTTGCCAATTCAATTTACACTGGTACAAAGTCCGCACATACCAGTACCGGCAGGAAAGAAAATTGAAGCCTTTTCTGCACATTCTCCCGAGTTACATGAGTTAATGCTGACAAGCGAAAGATATTAAATGGTCACTGACAGGATGAGAACTTCGGGGAGCAAGTCACCCCGGTGGCTCCGAGGCAAAGCGCCGGCCTACGGATCTTCAGGTGGCGGGTTCGAATCCCAGCCAATGTGGCCGCAATACGACGGAGGCTTACTGTCAAAAACTTAGGTTTCTGTTGCACTTCAAAAGATCCCCAGGTGGTCTAAATTAATACTTAGTCCTCCGCCGAGGCCTGCCAAATTAAATGGCATGGAGCAGCTTCAGTTGTCCCACTCCCAGCCGAGCTTTCTACCTTCAATACCACTTTGGCATCTCGCGAACTTCGAGCTTGCAAACACAGCCAAAGCACAACGAAAGTGAGTGAGCACGTGCTGGAGGATACGCATTTGAAGAGGACGTTGTGCCATTATTTTCCTGTCGGTGACTAGCTAGGAATTACTATCTTTGAATCGAGAAGCGATTAGCCCAAGCTACTCGGCGTGCACAGCTACTACATGGGTGCTGACCTTCGCGTTGTTTGTCCTCTTCCAGCGAGGACGACGTGGAGAACGTTCTCGGCCAACGGTAACAGGAAGGTACCCGGGGAACGCATTGTAGACGAGGTCGAGCTTCTTTCGAACCACCCTCCGTCGCCATCTTGGAACTCGGGTGAGTGCTGAGGTGCCTTGTTTGAATTCCCTCAAATTCCCAAAAGTTTCAAGAAAGAAACTGCTGCTTCATATGAAAAAGCACTACCGTAAAGTTCCGAAAAAACTCTCGCCAAAAATGAAGAGATAAATTGGGAAAAACATGGGATGGGCTATCTTTGGGGATGCCACAGCAAAACTATCAAAAATAAACACTGGGGCCCCCTCTACAAACCACGTGGCGCAGGAGCTGATACTTCAGATCGTGGACTCCGCAAATTCGCGTTTCACGATGCGAATTCACGCCGGGAATTCGCTACGAATTCCTCTGTTACGCAAAAAGATACTCAGGTTGCAAACGCAGCAGATTTGCGTTTTACTGTGCGAAGGACCCGCGGAAGCCCGCCAAGAACTCGCATCTCACGGGAACGAATACCGCAAATCGCGGGTGCAGATGGTGCAATAAACACGCGGGAACCCGCTACTAACCTGCCTGTCACGGGAACCGAAACCGCGCGCGCAGATCGTGGACAAAAACGCGGGAATCCGCTAGTACTCATATGTTACGGGAACGAATACCGCAGATCGTGGACGTAGCAGATTTACATTTCACGATGCAATATACACGTGGGAACAACTCGCATGTTACGGGAGCCGATAGTGAACTTGCAGATCGTGGTCAAAGACATGGGAACTCGTTAAGAACTCGCTTGTCAGACATACTGGCACAGCAGATCGCGCGGCAGATGCGATTCCCATCGGACATCGCATGACGTTCGACAGGAATCGGGGGGTGGGCGATGTTTCGGAATTTTCATGTTACAGGTATTTAGCCAGAAAAACGGGATGGGCAATCTCTCGGGGGCGGGCGATTTCTCTGAACTTTACGGTAATACAATTTCTCTGAAACTTTTCTTGAACACTGGATTTACAGGAAGATCAGCTATCATCAGCACAATTCAGAAAATGGTCGCCTATCTTTCTCGACTCTGAAAATGAGTGTTGCAGCGTTTCAAAGCTGATGACGTTAAGACAGATCTCCGATAAGGCTGGTAGTGACTCGAGGCATTTACGCATTATAGAGAAACTGGCATTGCTATAGTTTTTTTCTGGGTGATCTAAAAATAGAGTAAAAAGAAGGTGTTCTGCCTTGCAGTGCTCATAAGGTAGGTAATTAAGGCATGATGAAACAGTTCAAATTAATGTGTCCTGAAGGTGTTAAGTTTTGGGAATGGTCCATACCGAGGGTGGCCAGGCTGACCCGGCCTAAGAGCCACAAACAGAACCACGGAACTTCCAAGATCCGCGGAGGGGGGGGGGGGGGGGGGGGGGATGGGATGGGATGGGATGGGATGGGATGGGATGGGATGGGAGGGAAGGGAAGGGAAGGGAGGGGAGGGGAGGGGAGGGAGAAGAGAGGAGGGGGAGGGGGGGGGCAAACTTGTCGAGAACAATAAACAAAACTCTAACTGCACTTGAACCTCGATTTTACGAAACGTGATATTAATTTCCCTATTTAACGAACAAATTCGGATTCCCCGCGCAGCCTATGCACGAGGTCTCCCATCCTCGATTTTACGAAGTTCCCGATTTAACGAAATAATTAGCGGGTCTCGGTGACTGTTAAATCGAGGTTAGACTATTTTTAATCTATCCAAGTCAAAAGCAGTCCAGCTGTATGTTAGGTAACAGTAGCACAAGACTACCAAACCGCAACCTGTCTTTTGATTTAAAACACGTTCCATTTCTCTTTTTGGGGAAGTCCTCACTAGGTGGGTGGAGGTAAACTAGGGGAGGGAGCCGCTATTCGCACTTTAACACGCAAAGAGCCGCAGGTTGGCCACTCTTGGTCCATACTTTAGATGGACTCTGCAGTAGTCGCCATTCTGTAATATCCCAAGGTGAAATCAATCCTTCAAAAATAGTCTGCCGAGTCATTGTGTTCAACTTTTTGTGTCCAAACGATTGAGCTTCGCAGTATTTTTGGCAGGCCAAAGCTTAGCCTGCCCACTTCCTTGTAACATTGCGGCAGCATAGTCACTGAATCAGTTCACATTATACTCGAGTTGCCGAGCATGGAAGGACACCACATAGAGTTGATCCGCTGTGCCGTTCTTCACTTCCAGGAAAGATAAGTGGAAACAAATCGCTTGGCTCCGATCAGAAAGACAAGGAGTCATTCGAACGTTGTGTCGCGGATGAATGGTCTTATTTCTCGCACGACCTGCCGCCACCGGCCATCAAAACGAGTGAGTATCGAAACTATAGTAACCGACAAGGTGTGAACAGCGGGGAGGCCCTTCGGTTCTCCAGCTTCCTGCTTTGAACAACAGTTTAGTGTCTTGTGCACCTCCAATCCACGGCGGAATGCATGGAGCACTTGCTGGGGGCCGGGCGTTCGAAAGACGGCCCCTGCCATCCTCACTCTGTCAATGAATATGGCCATCCCGTGATTCGAGTATCGCCTGACTTTTGATTAGGGTTTTACGTTTCCAAGGTTTTCTTTTTTTACAGCAGAGCTGTTAAGGGGGGACACTACCCAAAACAAATCTATTTCTGCAAAAAAAGTTGTTTTTGAAAAGTGTTATATTTACATCCACCAACATCTAGAGAGGATTCCCAGGAAGTTTCATTAGTTCACACTGTATAGTGAATTCTTTATAAATTATTTTTGGTCCACCGATGCTAAAGAAAAGGTAGAGGTTGGAGCGCTTTGAATGCATCTTTCTCTGTTCCACTTTTTGGCATAAATTTCACTTTAGGAAAACTATTGTTTTGTTGTTATGTAGCTTGGATTCATTTTTATGAGTTTTTCTGGGGTGAAATTTTAAGAGGAAGATAACTATGAGCTTGTTTTTTTTATTTTTGTCAATTTTCATGCTCAAAAACTAAAATTTTGGACAAAGGATGGAAATCTAAAAAAACAGTAGTTGTGTTTGTGTTTTCTTTTTTTTGTCATAAAAGATGGTATACTATAAAAATATAGCTCCATAGTTATCTGCTCTGAACTGTCCTCAAGCAATATAACACATGAAAACGACAAATTTATAAATAATTTCAAAACGATAGTTTTCCTACTCAGACACGCCCACTTTCATCTTTGAACATTTGTAATTTGTTTTGTGCTTCACCCAGGTTAACAAAATTTGGCACAAATGTTCTCGGCATCAACAGAAACAAGCCCTGTAAATGTTGTTTAAATCAGAGAAGGGGTTTAAATATTAACTTTTTTGGGTAGTGTCCCCTCTTAAGGGCTAGTTTCCCCAAGGTCATGTCCGGTACCAAACAAATGTCGACACAACACTCTGGTTGTCGCCGTCGCACATAGATGGCGGCAGCTGTCCAGAGTGTTGTTTTTGCCGGTTGTCTGCTTGCCGCCGTCGGTCATAGATCACGGCAACCTTTCCAGCCTCGGCAACCGGACGACTGGTTGCTGTCGTCGCTCATAGACGGCGGCAACATTTCTTCGGTGGAAGAAGAGCGGGAACAGAACAAGCGGTGATGTGTGCAGCAGCACGGATGTTTCTGCAACCGCCGCGAGGCCGCTATCGCCTAAAGTTTCACTGCATCGACTGCTTCAGATTCCCTTGCGAAAGAAGAGCAGATTGGTCGCCTGGAAAGCCACCGCCGAGAACAGAAGCTATAGCTTCGCTGCTCTTCCTTCTTCACCTGAGTGGAAAGGCTGAAAGTTTATTTCTTTTTTTTGAATGGAGGGGTGTTTTGTGGGGGAGGGGGGGAGGTTTCTTTCAGATTTACAATAAAAATTATTTTGTTTTTGGAAGATAAAGTTTTTATCGGTGAGCTAAACATGATGCGCTTATTCACGTTCGCAGTTACCGATGTGTGTTGCGTCCGGTTTTATCCCTCGTTTTGGGTCTCTTTTTCCCCCCTTTGCAGCGCGCATTCTGTACTAAGTATGACATAGCAGCTATAGTCGCTGGCAAGATGAAAATGGCTGGGAGGAGTTGCTGTTGTCCCGCCTCCAGTGCGAGCTTCCTTCCTTTGGCAATTTCGGCATCTCGTCAGCTTTGAACGCGGAAGCCCAGCCAAGGCACGGCGGAAGAGAGCGAGCGCATGCTGGAAGACGGTTGTCGGAAAGAGATACCCTGCTGTTCTCATCCTCTTGGTGCTGTGGCCAATACCACCTTGAAGTCAAGGCCTGCATTACGTCGTTAGATCCCTGAGCGACAAACGCTCCGAAGTTTTACGAGGGTATAGTGCAAGGTGCAGACGTGTGCGTCTTGGCGTTGCCACGTGCTTGTGTCGCACCTGTCGCAAGACGCTGGAAGACACGCCAACAAGCTAGTTGGCGCTGCGTAGATCCAGTAGTGATGACGTTTGGCGGTGACAGGTGCATCTCGCCTTCCAGGTAGTATTCTCATTATTCCTGCAGGAGAATCAGCAACAATAGCTGCATCTCGCGCTGTCAGCGAGTGCATTGTTTTGTTATAGCCATGTCTCGCGCCCTCAATGAGTGCATTTCGTGATAGCCGTGTCTCGGGCCGTAACGAGTGCATTGTTTCATGGTAGCTGCATTTCATGCCGTGAAAAAGTGCATTGTTTTGTGATAGCCGTGTCTCGAGCCGTCAACGAGTGCATTGTTTCGTGATAGGTGTGTCTCGTGCCGTCAATGAGTGCATTGTTTCGTTGTAGCTGCGTCTTGCGCCTTCAATGAGCGCATTTTTTTGTGATAGCCGCGTCTCGCGCCGTCAACAAGTAGTCTTTTCTCGTGCTGTCAACAAGTGCGTTGTTTCGTGATAACTGTCGTGCCGTCGACAAGTGCATTGTTTTGTGATAGCCGTGTCTCGTGCCATCAACGAACATATTGTTTCGTGATAGCCGTGTCTCGTGCCGTCAACAAGTGCGTCGTTTCGTGACGCAGCGGTGGTTCCGGTCAAAAGAGTGGGAGCCAACTTGGAGCAGATGTCGAAGCTTCGTGACCAGCTGGACGACATCTTGAGCACGCGGCCGAGTGGTAGCAAGCTCAAGGAAGGAGATGCCAACAGCCCGGTTCCCAAGTTCTGGGTGAGCAAGTGGATCGACTACACGGAGAAGTATGGCGTTGCCTACCAGTTGTGCGGCGGCAGCGTCGGCGTGTTCTTCAACGACTGGTCGCACATGACGCTCCTCGACGACGGCAAGTGAGTGCACCGCGGAGCGTCCTAACTTCTGTACGGCGAGCAAGTTTGTCTGCTTCTTGCGCAAAGAGTGTGGTGACATCACGGCATCAAGCAATGATTGGAATGAAAGGATGGTGAGTGAACACAAAGGCTAGCTTCCTTTGTGTGTCTATTCACTGTCTCCCTCCAATCAGAGTGAAGAAGAGCATCGTCTGCTTGCACGGGGAGACCAGCAGCATCAGGGCCAGGTGCCTCTGCCACTTAACGCCGGTGTCGTCTGCTAGTTCTAGCAATGGCTGTCTTGCCTTTTCTACAGCTTTCATAACTCCACCAATACTTTAAGAATGAGGACTGTTACGTCGCATGAGACTGACATCACATGATATCAAAGAGGACCTACGAATGCTACACGTTTGTTGCACCTTTGGAATATACCAGAGATGGGCAGTTTTACGGTAAGAGCTGTTAGTGGGAATCTCCCCGGGGAACTGCATGGTCATCGCTTCGAAAACTCTCCATGACGTCATCAGCTATGTTACCAATCACATGATTGCTCCCTGCCATCGCATCTGAGACTTCCCGCCGAGCCCAACGCCGCTGTAGTTGGCAGCATGTGGCGTGTGCAAAGAACAGACAAACTTGTGCATGCTTTCTTGGTGGAAATTCAGTGTCTTTGAATTGCCTTTGTGGAATGTTCCAAGTACATACGCCATCATGTAAAATGTTTCGCGGCGATATATGTTAATGCCCCCCCCCCCCCCCCCCCGCAACCCCCTGGAAATTTAGGAGTAACTAAAATTCGTCGCAGCAATTATGCCGCGGCCCAAGCACCTGTCGCCGTGGCACACGATCCGAGGTCGCCATTTTAGGTTGCCCTCACTCACCCTCACAGCTACACTTAACTTCACCCCCTCACTCACCCTCATCCTCATAGTCACACTCACCTTCAGCCCTTCACTCACCCTCACGGCCCTGATACCTTTCACTCACTCATAGCCCTCACGCTACTCACCGCTCTCACGCCCCTCACTCACTCATGGCCTTAACGCACTCACCGCCCTTACGCCACTCACCGCCCTCACGGCCCTCCCGCACTAATAGCCCTCACGCACTCACCACCCTCATGCCCCTCACGCACTCGCCACCCTTGCGGCCCTCACGCACTCAGCCCCTCACACCCCTCATGCACTCATGGCTCTCATGCCATTCAGGCCCGCTTCGTATGGGGCAATTTCGCACTGAAACTTAACGTCTCAACACCATGCAGCAACACGGGCCGCCCACGTTCACACACGGCAACCAATTGCTGCAATTTGCCATCATCATCATGAAATTTAATTTTTCTTGCACTACTTAGACACATAATTACGTGCTATAAACATGTTTTTATGAATTTAAATATCATTGAGAATACTAATGCATCTTTCTGAAACAGTTTATTTCCAAAAACAATCAATTTCAAAACAGAATTAAGTTTTTGTTGTCATCATCACCAGTACGAGGTATCGCGTGAAAATAATGCGTCCCTGATTGGATGCCGCCGCTTCAAACGTCTTCGAATTGCTCCGAGTTGTTCGCTTGTTTCGAGCCGGACCCGATCTCGGAATTTTGTGTTGATCTTGGGAAAGCTAGGGAACAACCCACCAGCAACAGCAAAACTGCTGAAGAAGTTGCTCCGTCTGAAGGGGGCCGCACGCACTCATTGCCCTCATGCCCCTCACAGACTCATGGCCCTCACACCCCTCACGGCCCTCACGTCCCTCACGCACTCACACACTCACCGCCCTCACGCACTCATGGCCCTCACACCCCTCACACACTCACGGCCCTCACACACTCATGGCCCTCACGCCACTCACCGCACTCACGCCCCTCATGCACTCATAACCTTCACTCTCCTCACACACTCCCCGCCCTCACGGCCCTCACACACTCACGGTCCTCACAGCCCTCACCGCCCTCACTCACCCTCACCTCACCTGTGAAAACGAGGGTGAGGGAGAATCCTGATGAGTGAGGTTTGCCGGGGTATGCACACGATACACGATAGAGTAAATGATAATGATGCACAAAAATCGTGTACCAGCAGATGCAGTTCATTTATGTCGATCATGTCCGAAAAGAACTCAAGCAAGCAGGAGAGCACTGCCTCTGCAAAGAGGAATGCGTGGGGCAAAAGTTTGCCTACATGTAATCTGAGGATTTTTTGAGCCAGAACTGACGTTACAAGAGGCCGGCCTAAAAGAAGAAAGGTTTCGATACAGCTGCCCTGCAGTACAGTAAAACCTCGTTATAACAAAGTTGAAGGAGTGGTCGCAATTATTTCGTTATAACCATTAGTTTGTTATAGCCAATGTCCATTTCTTCCCACTATTGGCAAGCAAGGGGAATTATGATTGCTTCGTTATATCCATTAGTTTGTTATATCCCATTTTGTTATAAGGAGGTCTTACTGTATAGACAAAAACAAAACAAACAAGTTTTTTTTTTTTTTTTTTTTTTTTTTGCAACGTTTTTACTAGTGATGGACAGAATCTGCGGAACTTCAGGTTCGGTAAAGTTTGGCACATGCCGAGCTTTTGAAGGAAACTTCGACAGAGATTCGGCAAATGTCTGCCCACGCGCGAGAATGCAACGGGGCCATGGATTGCAAATGGACACCATGCAGTTACCATCGTACAGTTTAATACTACCAGCAATTACGGCGAAGTGTGGAGTATATGGTAACTGTGTGCTTGTCAACCTTTAGGAGTGTGGTTGTCTTCAATATTTTCTGCCTCAAGACAGAAGATTGACCTGGAATTGACGCAGTCCACTGCACAACAAATGATGCGGTGGTTTCTGGACGTGATTCTCATTTGATCTTTCCAATGATGCATCGAGGTAGTTCCAACGTTGACTGACAAGTGCAAAACGTTCCCGAGGAGAATTGTGTTTTTCGGCCCCGATATGTAGAAAATATGAAGCTAGCGGTTGAGATAGAATGCGAACGTTTGAGAAGATGACGTTGCTTGGATTAAAAGATAATTGAAAACAAAATTTCTTTATGAGCCGGCGTCCATTTAAGCCGAATATCGTCAAAACGAGATGATATTGTGAACGCTCGTGGAATTTTTATCGGTGAAAAATACTTCTCAGCAAGAAAGAGAATGTTGTTTTCTTTCTTGCTGACCAGTTTGTTTCACTGAAATGAAAGCTACAGGCCCCTAGAATGTAATTTTTGTGTTGGCTCAAAGAAAAAGTTAGTTTTTCTCAATTATTTTTTGATCCAAGTAACGTCATGTTCTCAAACTTTTTGCATTTCATCCCAACTGCTAGCGTCACATTCTCACAGGAGTTTGAGTGCCCTGCAGTGCATAGTTGATTTAGCTGGGCCGAAAAACACTGTTCTCTTTTTTCGGGAACTCTCTGTACTTTAAAGCATTCCTCGCAGTTATAGCAATCCTGTTGTCGGCTCACAAGTGGTTTGTGCCAAAACAAAATTGTATAGCTTTTTAATTAGCGTTATTTTGTAGTTTTTAGCTACCCGCATAAAACTAAGCACAACGATCATGGTCGACATTGCACATCCGACATTCCTAACTCTTCCCATCTTCGTAAATGTCTGCGTGTGTCACAACATCGGAAACCGGAATTTTTGAAAGTTAAAAACGAGACGTTGCGAATATGGGACGCACACTTTCATACGAAGCTGGCGTCAACTGATTCCAATTGGAAAACATGCATACTTGCAATAAAATTGCTACCTTCTGGTGGAGGTTCAGCAGCTGTTGCACTCATTTTTGCACATGAAATGATGACTTGCAGAGAAAGTAAGAACACAGTGTTGCCGCCTTCATTGTACGCACTTGCAGGCTTGCACTGATAGAGCCTCAAAACCGAAACTCGCGTATCGTGACTGCGCCCGCTACTACCCAACCTCGTTCTCACACCACTTCTGCCGAAAGTCGCTTGAAAAGTGGCGGTAAACACACATAAACGACACCGATACAATTATCTTGTAGAATATCACATTATATAGTAATAGCTGTGTCAATATGCATTGTACATGGCATTTAAGATTTTAAAGAAAGCTTAAAAACATTTTTTGTTAGGAAAACAAAATACTGACGACTTATTTTTCACGGGCTCAATTTTTCACGATTTGGGTGAAAGCTCAAGTTCTTAAATAATTTGCGGGTCCTAATTTTCGCAATGCGGTGGGATCTCAATATAGATTCCCATGTGTTTACATTTTACCAGAATTGTTCACGGGATCTTGTTTCGTGAATTGTAGACGATTCACGAAATTTGCGAAAATTTGGTTTTTGCGAAAATTGAGTTTTTTTACGGTATCAGCCTTGAAGTCTGGCAACAATGTATTTTTGCTGAATCTTTAGAAGACTTCGGCAAAACTTTGGTTTTTCCGAATACCGAGATTTGGGAGAAGTTTGGCCCATCACTAGTGAATGCGCTCATATTTTTTATCCCTCTCTCTCTCTCTCTCGGCCACGCGTTTCAACGTTGCACAACGCTCCGGTTACCTCCAGGAACGTGATTTACGTGGACCACTGGCAGTACGAGTTCCGCCGCACGTTGGCAAAGACACCGCCGTGGCCGCCGTACATGAAGGACAAGCTGCGGCTGCTGGAGTACTTCTCAGCCTTCATGCGGCAACGCCTGCTGAGGACGGGGGGCTCCGGCGGGCGCCGCACGGTGAAGGAGCGTGCCCGCCCGCCCCACCTGGTATCGTGGCTCCGAACGCACTCGACCATCGCGTTCCACCTCAGCGACAACACGGTGCAGGTGCGAACTGAATGCCGTCTTAGAGGCACGCTATGGTCTATTGTAGGTATGGTCAGCCAGGTACAGCTTTAGCCTCCACCGTACTAGTGACCGTGAGTCGTTGCGGCAGAATGGGTAACTACCGTATTTGCACGATAGTAAGTCGACTCAATTGTAAGTCAACCCCCCTCATTGCACATTAAAAACAAAAACCTTTAGAGGCGTGTTTTACAGCGAACATGTTAAAACGGCAGGGTATCTTTTTTGAAAGCCCACCCTCCGGCATGCAATCGATGCCTTTTGGCATGCTTTGGCTGCGCATGCACGTGTGAGGTGCATGAGATGCCCAGGCGAAACTAGGAAGGTCACGCTAGAGCTGGGACCTTCCCTGTCGTTTTCACTCTGTCCGCAACTAGAGACTACGATTCGTCTGCTCTGGTGATGTCAGTCCCGTCGTGATCTCTGCTACGTTCTTGAAGCCTAGCGTCGGCGTTGTCCAACGAAATCTTGCACTTCGCAAATGGCGGCATCAAACGCACCTTCTGCGCTTGCTCGGTCATCGCGTTGCACATCACGGGTAGGGACCAATTGCGCACTTTTGCACGGTACGTTGCATGCCTGACCTCCAACTCCGAAAGGCATCCCCACCTATATCCAGAATTTGGCCCGCGGCCCGTGGAAGCCTCTTTGTTTGCAGTTACAGTTAAGGCAAGACACTGGTTCTAAAATCGACTTTTTTGTTTATTAATGGATTATAATGAAAATTAGTGTGTATATGTGTTTTGGCTTCCTCTTTTCAAATATAAAATTAGTTCTGCAATATCTCAATTACTTTTTGAGTTACGAAGAAAATAATGAAGCCTAATTAGGTCATTTCTTACGACTCATTAAGGAACTTTCTAATACGAATTTTTTTGCATAAGTGATATGGATTTGTAGCTAAAGACCTGTCATGCAAGATGATGCTATTTATATTTTTGTAAAGATAGATCATTGTATAAAACTAGTCTAATTAGGTCAAGTACACTATTTACAAAGCCTAACGAGGTCACATTATCACTAATAATAAAATTTCGGGCCCATACTGTCATACAAAAATAGCATCACCCTGCAGTTCACTTCTTCCTGAATCCAAGGGTATAAAGTTTATAGAAATCCTTGAAGAATAATCTCATGAAAACAACCGTAAGGCTAGGCATGTAGATGAAAAATGCGAAGCTGAGAAAATTGCAGTTGAAGTTTTGACACTCATTGCATAAAATTGAGTAAGGGATCTCATGCAATAATGTTCAGCAATATGAAGCATAGTTCTATCTGAACAAATTGAGATGAAAAATTCTGCGATCCGTTCACAAGAACCTTTAAAAAATAATATAAAACTGAGAAATAATGTCTGCAATGTAAAATAAAGTTATAAAAGAATGAGTAGACTCTATAAGGGACAACGGGATGAGGCACTAAGGGTTGCACGTTCCAAAAGCAGATTTTGTTTGGCCCTGAAAAGGGCCTTTGTTCATGTAGCACTCGAAAGGGGAGCCCCCTCACAGCTGTCCAGGACTGTAGTCCCCAGCTGTTCCAGTCCGGTGTTGCCTGGAGAACCTCTGTTTTGCATTGCTGCTGGTGTGGTGGGTAGCGTTGGCCTTGCGCGGATTGTCCTTCTCCATGCTTTGAGAGCTTTCATGTCCACTACAATGAACTGTATCCCAGCGTCGCGCGTCTGGCCTCCTGTGGTGACGCCGAGAAGGTCGAATTTGCGCCGGGTCGCCGACTTTTCCGATAGCGCACGCTTGCATTCGTCCGATCGTGCGACTCGTTGCGCCTGCTCGGCCGTGGAGTAGTATGCGGTGTCGACACAAACCGCGCTCGCAAAGCTCGACAAACTGCCGCTGCTGCATGGAGTCGCGATGTCTCCGGCTGATGTTTCCGGAAGATCCAAGGCATCCGGCGGTGCCGATCGCGGTGGCGCACTTGCAGCAGACAGCTTCGGCTTCTTGTTCCACGGTCGCTTCCTCTTCCTTCCGAACGCTTGCCGCGTGCTCGATTTCAACCGAGCGTCGTCCGGCATCTCGAGAACTCGAAGCGAAACAAAACAAAACACGCGCGACTTCGTAGGAAAACGAACCAACATTATTCAACGCAAGCGCGCAAACGGGAACTAAAACGTGCGCTCGACCACGGAGGAAACAAAGCAGACAGGCCTAAGGAGACGGGCGGAGACGAGCCCAGGAGCAGACGACGCACCTCTCGCCAGCGCGGGAACGGAAAGGAGGAAAGGAGAAAAAGAGCGGAGGGGCGCGTTTAGGCCAATAGCAGGGGCGCTAGGCGCCGCGCGTGCTCTGACGTGGGTCCATATCACAAGAGCGAATGACATTTTAGCGAACGGCGACATTTGAGCGAATGGTCGTTTTAGCGAATAACGGGGGCGCGCGTTAACCCATCCGTCGCGCTGCGCTTTACGCCGCTTCGCGGCGACAGTCTGCGGCAACTCATTACAAAAATATGAACTCATTTGGCCCACCCGATAACGCCGCTTCGCGTTGTCCGACTATTCGCTAAAGTGTCGTTCGATGAAACGTGGGCGTTCGCTAAAACGTCATTCGATCAAGTGAGTGCCTCCCCTCTGACGTACGGGCACCTTGCTAGCAGGCCAATGAGAGATCGCAATTGGGGCTTTCGAAACCCGCGGAATGCGGACGTTCCCCGATGTTGTCGCGATAACGAATGGCATGGGGACGTGGGGAAAATAAGCGGCTTTCCAACAAGACCAAGATGGTCGCGATGCGACGAGCGATCGCGAAACGCGCGGGGCGCGAAGTTCCACTTGTTTTCATTGAACTCGCCGTGTTAGGGCTCTGCGGGGACATCGTAAATATCATTTTTTTCATGTTTAGACATTGATTTTGACATTGAAACTTTGCAGGCAGGTACCTTAGACTACAATTAATCCAAATATGTGAATTTTGAAAAACGTGAAATTTCGCGTTTTTTGACCATTTTAAGACCCGCGTCTCCCCTTAAGACCCCGTGCCTTTGCACACTCCACTGGAGCACCTTCGCTTCGACAGGTTGAACTTGCATCCAGCAGCGCAGTTGTTGGTTCCTTCTGGATGGAGAATGGCCACAAACGAAACTGCCAGTACGGTGTCCAAGACACGCTGGAAAGTTGCTGGTGCCGCGCATACCTTGAACTCGTACAGTCCGTCCAGCGTGACGAAAGCTGTCTTCTTGCGGTCCCATTCGTCAACTCCAATCTGCCAGTAGCCACTCTTAAGGTCCATCGATGAAAAATATTGAGAGTGGTGCAGCCGGTCTAATGTGTCTTCTATACGGGAGAGTGGGTTGACGTATGCTACATCGACCATGGCGATTGTTAGCTCGCTTACATCAATCCTGCTACATTTGCCCACTAGCACTAATGGAAGCAAGACACGAATTTGACTAAGTTTATGGCAGACCTTTATAGCGGTCGGAGGACAGTACAGTACACATGCTTACTTTGGCTTCGTAATGGGCATTACTCAACTGATACATGAATGCATGCCGGCATCACTAATAGGCATCCAAATTGCTCCAAACTTACGCATGTGGTGCTCCAAAGCTCCTCCAAAATGTAAATTGTTCCAATACAAAGGTGCTTTAAAACAAGGTTTTTTCCTGCTCCAAAAATTTCTCATTACTCAGAACTGACTGGACCACCCCTGATCATGTGAAAACTGGTGAACCACAGTTAACACGCTGAATGTTAACACACAGCTTTGATGGGCACTCAAGATGCACAAGCGCACAAGCACCGATAGCTTTGACTGCATAGCCACAGAACGTTGATAACTGTGGCTTAGCGTAACTACAGTTACAGGGGTTATGACACGCTAAAAATAAAATATGAGATAACTATACTGGTAGGACTTGCCGTATTTTCCTATAATCCTGCTAAATTTGTATTGAAAGTGGCGCGATAGTTTCGTGGATAAATCGATTTTAATGCGGGCCCCTCGGAGAGGCAGATCCGGGCGAAGCTGGAGGTTGGCTACGTGGCCAGCCTCCAGCGTGGTATTTCCTTGCACGCACACCCAGACTTGGCTCTCTTGGCGTCTCGAGCCTCAGCTTCCTCGTTTACCTCCCACGTCTCGAGCATGCGGTCCGTGACAATTACGTTTACGGCGTCGCTTGCCTTGTCGAAGTGTTCGACATTGATCGCGGCAGCGATGAGAGTGATTGCTATCAAAAGATGTGGGAAGCTGTTCATTTTAACTGCGACCCGCTGGCGACCAGCACCAGCGACGACAAGTTACGGACGTGCTCGCTGTGGCCAACGTCGTCCGGGAATATCTCGCAGGCGCATGCAGGGTGGAAGGTCAACAGGCCGGGGGCGAAAGCGAGAATAGCTTTCTGGTTACCGAGTTATGTGAGCGGTTTTGATCGTAATGCGACGAGGATAGCTTGAACGATCATGGGGGCGCCTAGAATGAGAGAGCGCTCATGGTCACGTGGTTTATGGACACCATGGTGTGACTAACGTGGGCAGTGTTGCCTGGTCGCCAGATGAAAATGATAAAAATTCGTAAATTGAATATTGCAATTACCAGAGCTCTAAAAATCGCGTAACTTGGTGTATATACTAAGTAGCCTATGAGCATTCCATTTCAAGAATAATCTATCCGTTGAATTTTTGTGTCATAACCCCTTTAAGCGTGCCTGTGTAGCAAGGGTTTTGGTACTGCGGTGCAGACACCTAGATTGCCAGAAAGCTCTAGCGTTAGCTGCCTCGGTGGCTCCGAGGTGAAGTGCTGGCCTACAGACCCCCAGATATAGGGTTTGAATTTCGGCCGAGGTGCCTGCAATTTGACAGTCTTAATCTGGAGGAAGCGTCATGAAATCAATATTTCAGTTGCATGTCAGAGGATCTCCATGTGGTTGAAATTACTCCTCCATCCTATGCTGGGACGTGCCAGATGACCTTTATTTGCTTGGCGCGTAGAACCCCAATCTTGGCTCCACTATTGGGATTTGTACTAGAATGTGTATTCCATTCATTGCCACCCATTGTCGTTAGAATGTCATTTGCTACTTGCCCGAGAAATGTTGATTCTCAGAGGTGTGTACACGGTGTTTTTTTTTCTCTTTTTTTTACTTTGCATTAGGTGAACTTCTTACAAGACCACAGCAAGATCATCCTGTGCCCGCTCATGGACACAATTTCGTACATCGACCGCAATCGCGAGTTTTCCGTGTACCGGACGGAGTCCCTGCTCAAGGCGGACTTGGCAATGGACTTAGTGTCGCGTCTCAGGTACAGCCGAGAGGTTGTGAAGAAGCTCGCCCTGCCCGTCGATCCTCGAGCGGCTCTGTCCAGGGCACCCTTCCGTTTCAGCACGAGCACGCCCGTCGCAGTTTGCCAAAAACTGCTGGGAGCACCGGGCCACTTCTATAACTCAGTTTCACCTCGCGACGATATGCGGCAGATGCTGCGAGCCATCCCAGCCAACCCGGCGCCGTGAAGGCTGGATCGCAGACTTGCATTCGAGTTTGCTCAAGTGTGTGGCATCTCCTCGTAGCCGCGTACGAAGAGAGAACGCACTGTCACCATCTATCGAGTGGCCCTGGAACTATGTGTAATGGGATTGAAGGTCCCGCATTATTTGAGAGATCAAATTTATACACCATCTGCGAGAAACGGTTGCTTAAAACCATTGTCAAAATTATTTTTTCGAGTCCACAGTGAAAGAATAATGTATAAAAGATCACAAAAACATGTACACCGCAGACGAATCCGAAGTTTCCAGGGCTACTTGATGGATGGTGCTAGTGTGGTCTCGCATCATAAGCGGTTACAAAAGAATGCAATACACTCGAGCACACTCGGATGGAAGCATGTACACTAGCCCTAAAGGGATACTACGACGAAATTCTAGCACCCATTTTGTTGTCTAAATGCAAACCATGTTCTGGCCACACCATGGAGACACCAATTTTTTTTTTTTTTCTCAAAAAGATGTTAAAACATTATTTCAAGGGAATAAATCGGACGTCATTACGTCACTTTGAACTTAGGAGCGAAGCCGCTTTGCAGAGGTATGGCGGCAAGCTGTTGGCACGCGAGCCCTGTGGAACCGGATTTTCCTTTTCCCGGCCTATTCAACGCCTTCTGGGAGCAGGGAGGGGCAACTAAACACGGCCAGGTTGTTACGCGTTGACGACATCAAGTGGCAGACCTCGTAACCACACCAGCCCCCAAGCAACTTCGCCTGTGCTGGGCCATTTGGTCACGTCTCCTGTGACCAACCGGTCACGGGTCATGACTCCCGCACTCCCCGATGGCCGATCTTTGAGCGATCGCTGGGATTGGTCCCTCGGAACAAGAAATATAGCCATTCGTTCAAAATACAAGCATTCGATTGTCACTAGCAGATAGAGTTGATTGTGCTTAACTTTTTCTGAATGAGAGAGGTATATTTTAAGTTTCGATTCAGTATCCTTTTAAACGTATTGCAGAGCTCGGGGTTACATGACACAAGACTCGGCTCGCATGTAACCCTCCCAAAGGTTGCACGACACTTCTGCGGCATCGGGTCGGCTTCAATGACTCGTAGCGTCCTCCGCTGTCCATCGTAAAGTGAATCGAAGTATATAGTGAATGTTTTTAGTTTCATACCTATTTTCTGTACAGTGGTGTAATTTCTATGCACAGTTGATTGCAAGATCACAGTTCATATCCTGAAGAAAAGCCTACAATTATTTTATAGAATTTGGGGAATGTTGCGAGGGTCAAAGGAAATCTGGGGAAGCAGTGCGAAATTTGGGGAAAACATTGTGAGGGTCAGTGACATCTGTTGGCTAATGCAGCTTTTTTTTGCATGTTTCAAGTGACTCGAGTGTTGAGAAGACTGGTGCATACACTTTTATGCTTCTGTACTTCGCAAAATGAGTACACACATGTGCATGCGTAAACCCCAAGTAGGAATCTTGTCGTTCTGAACTTGCGGGAAGTCAAGAGTATACATTTGATCATTGTCACTAATATTTGCTGATCTAGATGTTTCTTTTTCAAATAGATCGGAGTTTTGACAAAATAAAACAATCATGTTTTGCCAAAAAAGACCTCATGAAAGTTTCTTAAAAGTTTCGAGAATATACGGCATCCTCGAAGCAGACGAGGGGTCTTAATTTGGTGGGCTACTTGAGGAACATCCAGATGACCTGTTGTCATGATTCTAAGGCATGACATAAAAGGAAGTTGAAGGGGCAAGAAGAAAGAAGACGATGCCACGTGAGACAACGATTTTTGGAGGGGAAGAAAAAGAAGAGGACGGCGTGAGAGTTGTAATCGAAGACTGAGACCGGGAGGAAGCGGCGCATGGGGTCCATGGCTATGCTCCAGGACGCGCCCGACCCTTGCTGTGCACAAGCTGTCGCGGCGAGAGTTCCACACTCCCCTTCAGGCGCCTAGGAGACAGGGGCCTTCGCTCCCTTGGGCAAGTCGCTTTGGTTCGTCGACGCAACGAACTTAAACTGTAAGGCCTACTCCGAACAGCTTCATTTCTTGGAACTGTAATTTGTTTAAGCGTGTGTGTGTATTATTTCCCCTGTTACTGTGTATATACTCCCATGCTTTCCGTTATATCTTCGTCTTGTTTTTTTTTGTAAATATAATGGGTTGTAAATTATTCGTTTTTGGCCTCGCCTCTATCGCATTCGCAACGTCTCCGGCCGAACCGTGACAATGGCGAGCTTGCCAGGATACTTCTAACATCCTGATATTAGGAAGTCCGAGATGCGCGAATGTTGATAGAGATATGCCGATACACAGAGGTGTAATTTAGAGCGAGTAATTACTAGGTGAAACATGTGCCGGCAGTGAGTACCCAGTCTCGTTATTTCTTGGCCATGGAAGTTCCTTAAAAATAACGCTCGAAGTGAAAGTGGATAACATGGATCTGTGTAAAGTGCAAGAGATTGGAAACGCTGTTGGATTAGAAGGAATTGCACTGAAAGAATGGTTGAACGGTTTGCTCGAGGCAGAAAAGGCTGACCTGAGAGAAGAGCAAAAGTGGCAGGAGTTGGTACGAAAAGAAGGCGAACAAGGGCGCTTTGCCTCGGGAAAGGAACAACAGTGGAGAGAAGAAAGCGCCACGGAAATGGCACGCATAAAGACTGAATGCAACCACCTGGAGGAAATGATAGCGCTGCTGGAAGCTGTAGAGGAGGCACAAAATGGTGCAGAGATGTGGAAGGATGAGGCCTCACTCCAGAGAGAAGGTCTACAAATGAGGAAAGCTGCGGAGCTTACGGGAAATTCTGACGAGGCTTGTCCGCTTGTCGCAGAAAACGACAAGATGAAAAGTAAGAGAGCGTCCTTCGGAGACTCGGATCCCCGTTTAAGAGCTGGTGAGGAAGCTGAAGCTTCAGCCCTTGCAAGTGGAGAAGATGCTGAGGTGATGATGCGGCCCATGGTCGTACTGAAGAAGGCCCAGCAAAGCACAGGGAGTGCTAAGGTACGGAGGGCTACTTCTGCTGGTCAGAAAGTAAAGATCAGAAAACATCTGGCACGTGTGGTTCACCGGAGTGCTCAGTGGAGACCCCGGTTGAACGCTCAAAAGACGCTGCTAGGGAAGTGCAACGGTAAGCTTAGGCGGCCACGAATTGGCGCGCAAGTGAAAGGTCACAGTGTGCAGCGGAGTAAAAATGTCAAACAAGAAGCCAAGCGCGCGCTATCCTGACGTTGGAATTGCGACCTACCCTATCGCGATTGACCGCGCTAAGTTGAGCTGTTACCCTGAGATACTATGGAGCGTTTTGGTGGACTGGACGGCCAAAAGGCCAAGACTGGGAGGGTAGCTGAGCACTTTGATTTGATTGCATTACTGGCTGAAACGATTAGGCTGGGTCTTTTTCTTTTTTGCAAGCGTCAATGCTACTGTTTGTAGGCATATCTGTTTTGTATGTGTAGATTCTGCTTGGCAAGTTGGTATTGCCTTCGCCACGAAGAAAGCTGTTTTTGTATTCGTAGCTTGTACTACGAAAGCGAAGTATGAAAGGAGGTTGAACGTTGGAAGGCAATCGCTTTGCGGTATTTTTGGCACGTGGTAGCCTTTGATTTTCGGAAAGGTGCTCCTTTGTTCGGTGATTTTTGTTCTTTACGTAATTATTCGGATTTGAGATGATCGTAGCGCTCAGTGATCGTGCTTTCATTTTTTCACGGTGTGTTTCCTGAACGATTGTGATTGGACGCAATGATTTGTGAGTGGAAAGCTCTTCAAGAAACCTGTGTTGTGAAAGTGTAGCTGTGAATGATAGCCATTGTGGTTGGTGGTCGACGACCGCAAGCCAGCACCTTCTGTAGATGAAGATCTCAAGAAAGAACTTCATGTTATGAAATTCTCGTTTGCGGGGGGTAATGTCATGATTCTAAGGCATGACATAAAAGGAAGTTGAAGGGGCAAGAAGAAAGAAGACGATGCCACACGAGAAAACGATTTTTGGAGGGGAAGAAAAAGAAGAGGACGGCGTGAGAGTTGTAATCGAAGACTGAGACCGGGAGGAAGCGGCGCATGGGGTCCATGGCTATGCTCCAGGACGCGCCCGACCCTTGCTGTGCACAAGCTGTCGCGGCGAGAGTTCCACACTCCCCTTCAGGCGCCTAGGAGACAGGGGCCTTCGCTCCCTTGGGCAAGTCGCTTTGGTTCGTCGACGCAACAAACTTAAACTGTAAGGCCTGCTCCGAACAGCTTCATTTCTTAGAACTGTAGATGTGCTTAACCGTGTGTGTATTATTTCCCCTTTTACTGTGTACATACTCCCATGCTTTCCGTTATATCTTTGTCTTTTTTTTTTTGTAAATATAATGGGCTGTAAATTATTCGTTTTCGGCCTCGCCTCTATCGCATTCGCAACGTCTCCGGCCGAACCGTGACACCTGTGAGCAACTTTGGTTATGGGAACTGGTCCTTTGTCCACAAGTGTATACGGTTTCTTGTTTTATTAAATGCAATAGCATTTCTGCAGTCATCAACTGTGAAATTGCATACGTCCATATCTGTTATAGCTCGATAGCTAACTTGAGCATAAAAATTTTCCCGCTACATTCATTGGGAAATGCTTCTCCGCTAAATTTAGCAGGAGAACCTGAAGTGATGTGTGCTAATTGATTCGTCAGTTTGCTCAACGAGCAAACCAATAAATAACTCTGCAGGCAAAGGATCCCAAATGCTTGTGCATAATAAGAGGCTTTGCATGGGTCCTTTTTGGGAGGTTTGGAAAACAGTCCTTTTCAATGTGCATATGGGTGGACTGCCAGAGCTGTTCCGACTGCACTTGTGGCTCAGCCGGAGCATTAAAAACCGAGAGTGCACAAACGAGCCCAGCACCTTTTACAGCACAGCTTTTAGGCGCCAGTTTCCGGCTCGAATGGAGTCGCCGTTGGTGTAACCGCGCGTTGCATTATGGGACGTTTCCCATAATGACGTCATGTGCGACGTCACTGGGGTCACAAGTGACGTCACGAAGGTCACTCGTTAAGTCCTCGACTAACGTCACAAGGGTCACGAGTAACGTCGTGAGAGAGGAAGAGAGGGTAGAGAAGAGCAGGAGAGGATACCCTCCTCTTCATGCCCTCCCCTCCTCAAAAGCTGCACTCTAATTCGGCATTACAGGGAATTGTAAACGTCTCATTTTTTTTTCTCGCATTTTTTTACGAGTCAAGTTGCAGACATACAGACAGTTGCAAACCAACAAGCTTTATTTCGGTCAATCTGCAGTCACAAAGTTGTGCACAAAACCGCAGTTAATTTTGGCATAAAAAAGCACATTTTGAGCAAGCGACAAAAAACGCCACCATTTCCGTGCAGTGCACGAATAAAGCATTTGAACATCATCAACGAGGGGTGCCTCCGACTACACAAGAAAGGGAGTTCGAGAGATAACGCGCACAAACAAAAACAAGGTAAATACTGGCAACCTCTATCGTATGGACTCGAAACACTGTTGTCGAGCACCAAAACTGCTTGAGCATTGCCAACTACATATAAAACGTGTAAAAAATCAACAACCTGGTGGGAATCTGACTAATTGACTGCTGCAACCTTAAGGCTAGTTCGCGCGTTTGCGTTCGAGCGTCATTGACTGCGTCGCAACCCGTTGTAGCCGCTTACGAAAATAGAACACGCTGGTCCCATCTGTTGGCCAGCCCCTGAACACTATCCGACCTGCGTATATTTTAGACACCATTCTTTCGCTCTGCGCTCGAAATGGTCCCAAGAATCTTGCAAGCGACTGTTCTTTGTCGCGTAGCTTGCGCGTAGATTTGATGTCACAAATACACGGCAAGACTTTTGCTCTAGTTGGACACAGATCGAAGGGGTTCTGGGGGATAGCCTAACAGATGGCACCAGTTTATTTTCTCCTCGTCGGCGGTGGCAACGGGCTCCGTCGCACTCAAACACGTACGTGCGAACCGGCCTTTTGTAGACCCGCCGAAATGAGACCTTCGGTGAACTTTTCGGCTTCGAGAGGCAACGCTGACTGCAACGACCCAACGTGACGCCGGACAGCAAGAGCCGGCGACCGGACGGGGTTCTGCGGCAGCTGCTCAGGCGTACTGGCAGCGGAGGGAGGCGATCAGGACGTCGCCCTCCACCGTGACGTGGCTGATTCTGGACAGCGGCTGCAGCCTGTGCTGGTACTCCACATAGTGCTGGCCGTTGACGGCCACGTTGAACCTGTCCGGCAGCACCTGTTGCGAAAGAGACGGTCGAGTTTGCGGTCGGCCGGTGTCGGCACGGCGCTTGGAACGCGCCTTCGACCGGTGCGCTTGGCGTCCCGTCCCTCCCGCACGTTGGAAGCGGTCACAAAGCGGCCACAAACGAAGTTACGCGAGCCAGCCTGTCGTGTTGTCAGACATCGCGATCCCGGACGACGGTGCAAGAAGACCCGGCCAAAACGTTTGAGCAAGTGCAAAAGCTGCCGCCTCCATCGCGGTGTCCCAACTCCCAGCTGCCGAAGCTCTACGCAGACAGTGGAGCGACCTGCGGCAGAACGGGCGCTCCGACGTCCCCCACGACTGCTGCGACACAGCCGGCATCGCAGCTGGCAACGACATGACACTTCTACGGCGTCGCGAGGCAGACGTTGATAAACAAACGCAACGATCGGAAACGGATACCAGGCGCCATAGTATTGGGTCGACAAGTGGGGCCAGTCTCGTACTTTTACAGCGAAGCTGTTTATGGCCAGGGTTCCGTGGATTTTTCGTGTGCGTGACCGAAAACTTTATGCTCGCACTGCCGCACTCCTTCCCCGTATCAAAGATTGAAAGTAAATAACCAAAATAAAGCGTTGACGAACACATATGCAAGATGCCATTTGTTTTAGGCTTTTGCTTTAGAAGAGTTACTGCTGCAGACGCCGGCACGTGGAACACCATTCCCTGCATTCTCCTTGATGCTCGGGTAATTTAGCAATAGGCCTATCAGTAGATTAGTTATCAATAGGCACCATTTTCAAGATCAGTAGACTCTCTAAGACGACTTGAAGGCAGAAGCCCAAGTGCCGATGCATTAAAGAAAGACACGATTTTACGGATGCGGCGGATTTGTCATTCTGTTTTGCTTCCGAGTTACATGTCGCCACCAATTTTCATGGTGTCCCATCGCGCTATCCCGGCCCTTGCAAGCAGTCTCTATTAATATTGATAGTGCCCTCTCTGTGCATTACGATCGTGGAGCATTCATTTTGAGCGATAGTGTTTCGAAAACATTACAGAAACCTTTATCATACCCGTATTTCTGTCCACGCATCGTATGCAGTGCTCAAACTCGTAGCGCAATACTTTTCGAAAAAAACTGCCCCTTTCAGGGGATTGCGACTCGTACGGTTACACCCATTTTTATAACGGTGCACTTACAGACTGGAAAATACGGTACTACAGCGGACAATAGAGCCAAAAAGCTCCTTCGTGCTTCTTTGGCAAACCTGCCAGTTTTTGGAAAAGGCGCGGTTCGAATTAGGAATGGAATGCGAAGGTAAGGTCCTTATTCAGAACTAGCTGACAAATTTAGAAATTATAAAGCTTGCAGGGATTGCAGATGCAGAAAAAGGCCGGATCAGGTCTCCTTTCTCCTTCGCCCGGTAGTTCTCCTTTCCCGGCAACGTTTTCCGCAATTTGATCTGTAACGACCGCTGCCGTACCTGCACGAGCATATCGAAGTGCACGCCGGGGTGGAAGACAAACTTGTGGCACTTCTTCTCTTCGGGTCCCCAGTCGCCGTCGACGAAGGTGTTGCGCACCACCTCCTTGTGCCGGAATCGGGGGTTGAAGTGGAACGCCACGTCCGAGCCGACGCCTCCGCACGCAAAGTTCACCGAGAAGCTGCGTCGGCGGTGGTTACAGATGAAAATGGGAAAAGGCACGCAGTATTAGTGGTGCAAAGGTGCCCGGAACGCAGCTTTGACTGGTCCCCGAATTCCACGAATTAAGAATCGGCACAAGGGTACAACTATTTCTCTTTCCGAATTCGGGTTTGGGTGCACGTCGTCTGGACAACGTGCCGGCCGTGAAACAAGGTTTGGGCTGGGGATGAATAACTTTCGCTTGGGAATTTACTAATAGCATATTGTTTAATGGGCCAAAAGAAAGAAAGTCAAAAGCCTGAGTTTCAGTGCGAAAATTTGAAAACACAGCAGACTATTTCATACCTCCTTCCCTTCGAAAGCTCTCTGCCTTTTCACTGCGATACATCCACGGCGCCTGAAGCGCATCACCAGTCCTAAACGCACATCACACGACACCGGACCTCACTTATTCCCTTCAGCCTTAACCCCTTTAAGATTGGATAACTAAGCAAACTGGTATTATAGAAAATAAAGGAAGGGATAGAAAGTAGAAAGAGCCAGGCAAACGATTGCACAAGTTCACGCTGCTTCCACTAGATCGCGCCACTTACAGCACTGAACTTTGGCAGTCGTGGCGGCGGCGGAAAGTCGACTTTGAAACAAAAGGGTGCAATGAAAGACGATTTCCTTTCTGGAGATTGGTGCAGGTAAGAAAAGTTGGGTGGCCTTACGAGACTGCCTCCGAGTGGGGCCTGCCGCTGATGTACACCATGAGCCCGGGCGCCAGCCTCCCGCCGGGCAGCGGGTGGGAGAACGGGGTCGGCTGCAATGCGAAACACGGGGTTTGAACCACCACACCCTCAACGCGAAGGATGAATGCTTGACAGAGAAAAATTGGAACATCATTCTTTCTTCTACTGTCCGAGCGCTCCAAGGAGCGATTCTTGGGCGAACTAGAAACATATTCGCGCAGTATTTCGATTTGCTGGGGCTATATTTATAGTTTTGAAATTGTTTTGACGCTTTGCGCACGTGATACGCTCGAGATGGTCGCTCTGCACGTCGGCTGCTCTGGCGGTAGTCACGATTGGAGCGCCAGCTGTGTCAACTCTGACTTTTAACGCTTCTCGGAATTTAATTCGGAGGACGAGAAGCTTACCATCAGATAGAGGAGTTCTATAAAGTACCTCTGGTTTGGAATCTGAAACAGCCGGAATGTAGCGGAAGCGGATGCGCCGAAATGACACCGAATAGAAGAAAGGTGGCAACTTTTTGCATATTTTCCTTCGATGCTTCTAGACCTGAACAGCTTGCAAGCACTGTCTCTGCTCCCGCCAGATAAACAAGAAAGCAAAAAGAATGTTGCGAATTGGCCCCCTTTTTTTTTTTATACCGTTCCTTTGGAAACAAAACCCAACCACTGGGTAATGTCTTTAGGGGAAAAAAAAAAAACTCGACCGTCAAAAGGTTAAGGGTGGGACACGTGCATGACAAAATGTCTCGCGGTCCGTACGAGGGTTCGGAAAGACGGCAGAATTCGACCGGCTGCCTATCGATTACGACATCGTATGCATTCGCTTCACGCCGTGATTGGCAGGCGCCTTGCCGGATTCCCTCATCGCTCCGACGTGCCGTGCGATCCGCGAGACATTTTGTGGTAGACGAAGCACTAGAGCAGGGGTCTCAAACATGCGGCCCATGACATGATGGGACGCGGCCCACAGGCAACCGGCTACGAGTCCCGGTTCCATGTCTCGAGTGCTAGAAATGGCATGCACCATAGTAATCTCATCTCACCGATTTATTTAAGCTCGAAAAGTCGCTCCGCTCTTTTAACTATTCACATAGTTTTTAGTTAAAAGTTTTACTTATCTGCGTTCATTTGTCCTTTGTTTCGCTTCATCTTTTGCTTCCCAGCTTTTTGTAATGTAGAACTATTCCGCTAGGCTGCAAGCGCGAGCTCTTTGTTGAAGGATATATATTGGCTGCGCAAACTCTCTATCACCAGGAGCAACTGCCGAAGACAAAGCTACAAACTCGAATTCTCACCTTAAAAAAAAAAAAAGAATATCACCATTAAAAAACAAGTATGGGTGTTGTAGTACAAATCGTCAGGAAAGCAAGAATTGCAAAATAACTTATTGTTTTTTTAGATAAATGTTGAGCTTGGTTAATTCCCGAGTGAATTGAGCAACGGGAACGAAAGTGTACTTGCTCTTTTGTTCCATTAAAAATGCAAGCACTTTGGTGGGGCGGTGTCATTTTAATTATTGTTATCACGTCAGGTCAGGGCCCAAAGTAGTCGTATAAACAAATCAAATCTAAAAATATCACTAGCAAAACTGAGTTTACAAAAAGCGTAGAGCACGACGTCTTTAAATCGTGTCACTCTACCCCCCCCCCCCTCTTGACGTTGGCTCTCTGCCTTCCCAGTGTCGGCTACCTGGCCTTCATGCTCAAATGAGTTTGAGACCACTGCACTAGAGTTTAGTGAAGCACTAGACTCCAGTGCTTCACTCCTCAAGTTTGACAGGGGACACCACCTAAAAATTGCAATTAAAAAAAATATCTTTTTTTTATTTATTGTGGTTTAACAACTAATAGTGCATGCAAATTTTTACTGGAATATCTGAAATATTTACGGATAATAAAACATTTTTGATAAATTAACGATGCAGAATCACGTTTTGGAAATGTAAAGCTTCTACATTTCCTATTTTCTAACAGCTTTAGCTCCGCACCAGTACGCCCTAGAATAACGATTATACTCTTGTTGGAAAGAGCATTTCTTCACATTTTCAGTACACTAAACATATTTATTCGAGAGTAATCTCTATTTGGGCAAAAACACCATAGAAGTCTAGGTTTCCCATGGAAGAGTCTATGCACATGGCCAAGAACCAAAAAGCCCACCCCTATTGAAAAGAAAACTAACTGCAACCAGCATTTGTTTATGAAAGGTCACGTGGGTTTCTTTGCTTTGTATTTCGATGATGCTTGCCCTGCCCGTAATTGCTGACGCTGGTTTGTGCGTTGCAAGCATATCCAATTCCTCATTTCATAATCAATGACCACATGTCGACAACAAGATGACACTCGAAGAAAGCATTTTGAGCTCGGACTCGCTCAGTAAGGCCGTGCAGGAAATTGGGTATAAGCGGAAGGCACCATCTATGCTCTTGGTGCCTTTTAGTTGCCACCACCACAAGTAAAATCAGATGTAGTGGTGAGGAAACTTCAAATAGGTTTTTCTCAGTTTCACTTTTTGCAGCAACTTTCGTTTTAGGAAGTCTATCATTTCAATGAATTGCTGAATTTTATTCTTTTCTGTGGATATTTCTGAACTGAAATTTACTGAGGAATGCAGATAGATATTTATTTTTCTATTTAAATAAAGTTCTTATTGACAAAATGTAGGGTTTTGATGAGGACAAAATGCTCCGTTATGTGGAACACTTTTCAAATTGTCATTTTGTATTAAAAAGCACAGATTTTAGGGTAAAAAAATAGATAGCCACATTGCCGAAATCCAGTTACAGCTGAAGCTTAGAAATGCTCAATCTATTTTGCAGCAATTTTATGCAATAGATTTCCTTGCCAAGTGAGGCGACTTATATGAATTGGTGTTTACTTCCCCCTGTAGCTTATTGGAAAATTGTCCTACGGAAATGAAACATCAGACAGTGCATTTACGCAACAAGATGAATAAACCCTTTAAATTTCATCGATATTGAGCGACTGGTTTAAAAGTCGTCAGTTGAAGGTAGTGTCACCCGTTACAAACCCCAAAAAGCCACAAAAAATACTTTTCTTTTTCTTTTTTTCTTATATTGGTAGATACTCGGTATGCAGTGCTTAGTATAAGGTCCCCATGCTTCCAGCATAAAATAAAAGCTTCAGAAGTGGCAAAATGGGGAGAGAAGAGATGGTAGCCAACAGCAACTAGCAGAAACGGGAGGAGTCGCCAGAATGCCACGACGACGTAACATCGTAAGGGAAACTAGGGTCATTTGGCTCCCCGCAAGAAGCCTCCAGTTCACACTGCTTTCACGCATGAACATTGCAATCGGGAGGATCGGTGATCGAGGGGGCTGGATGGGTGTCGTGCCGGCGTGCGGTCCTCTATCTCTACATCTACAGCACGATTAAAGACCAGGCAGCAACGGTACTGCGCCGGCCAAATTTCATATCCACAGCGATAACACCAGACGCCCATTGGGGCCGACTCGCTCCTTGCCATCAAAACGTACATGCGACGCATTTGTACCATTACATTGCAGTGAATGGCTTACCGGGTTGTAGACGGTCTGTGGCTCGTTGGCCGGCTCCAAGGTGGCAAGGCCCGTCGGGAGCATGACCGGGGCGGTGCACGGCATGGCCATGCCGACACCTTCCATGGGCGGCAGCTGCGTGGAAATCGCGAGACGGTGCACGCCGTCAGCTCCCTCGGTGGCTCTGAGGCAAAGCGCTCGCCTATGGATTTCCGGTAGGCGGGTTCGAATCCCGACCGAGGCACCTGAGATCCGATGGAGGCTGATTGCGGAGAACGCGAGTCTTCGTCCGAGTGCGTAGCCCGCGAGAGGGGTCGTTCGGCCTTCCAGGAATCAACACACCGGAAAGTTGTCCGGCTTTATGTTACGAGATGCGACGAAGGTTCAACGGCACTTGCGTGAAATGCCTTTGCACCTACTGGATTATTCTACTATGTGCAGTTTTCTCCCCGCCCCCTTTCTACACAACAGAGGAGGGCAAGAGGGGAGAGTGTTAGTGCAATGTTTACCACCCCCCCACCAGCACTCCACACGGTGCAACGCCATTGGTCGCTTACGCTATGACAGCATATCAAGATTTTTAAAAAATCAAATTTTTTAAAAATTACATAAATTATATTTATTTTGTTTAAATCAGATTATTTGATTCAAATCACTGTAGCTGAAAAATAGGTATTCCTTAAGGGGTATTCACACGAGGGAGAAATCCCGGGGATTTCTCCCCGGCACGCGCATCCCGCGACGAAAACGACAGGCTTTCCGATGTGCAAAAGCCTCGCGTTTTCATCTCGTGATGCGCGCGTGTCGGGGAGAAATCCCCGGGATTTCTCCCTCGTGTGAATACCCCTTTACCACCACCGTAAGATACGGATAATTTACACGCTCTACAATAAGCACCCACCCCACGATCCTGTGACATTCGGAAGATGCACAAACCGGAAGATAGACAAAGGACACGTCTTTACATATCATCGACCTCCCATTTTCCAGTTTAACATGATTATCTCCAAATTTTGTATATAATTCTGTATAACTTAGGACGAGTTGGCGCTTGCTCGGGACTTTGCAGTAGATATATTTTTCAACCTGCCAGATTGATATATATCAGTTCGTTCAATCACTGATGACAATGCAAAGAAATAATTACTTTGAATGTAACGTATGGTTTAATTAACGGCATTTTATTGCTCCAATTCCCTACTAGAGCAAAAACAGCTTGAGTTTCTAAATTATTTCAAAAATGTATTTTAGTTTTCTATCGAGTTCTGACTTGATTGCAGTAGGAAATAACTTTTCTAGCTTTGGTTTCTTTTGCATCATGATTTAGTTTCAATATGATATTACATTGCTGGCAAACAAAGTGTAAGTGAAATGCTTAAATTTTTTCAAAAGCACTTTTTTTTTTTTGCTTACATTAAATTTCTTAAAAATCTTTCATGCTTGAGGATTCTTTGATTTAAATACAAGACAAATGCATAAAAAGAGCATCAAACGACAGACAAACGGAAAATAAAAATATTTCAGAATTGCTTTTGCGGGAAAGGTTTGATTTAAAGGGGTAGGGAAACGAAATTTCAGCGCTCATTTTTTAGCTTTAATGTGTTGCATGTTGCACCCTAACCTCAAAAACACGTCTTCCGTTGAAGAGCACAAGAAAACTAATTTTAAAGCTAAATAAACAATCTTTCAATGTGCACCTGGTGGATGCATGCGGAGCCTATTTGGGAGGTAGTCTAGCAACGTTGTAGAATCTGCTACGTAGTCGTGACGTAGCAGATTCCTTCGGAGCAGCGCCGTCTTTTGGAATTTCAACATTTTCCTTAATCGCACACTGTATCAAACGGTCCAAGAAGACGGAAAGGAAGGACTCCCCTCTTTCTCGGACCCTCGTTCGTGCAACCGGAAACAGCCATTCTCCCCCTAGAAGATTAGCCCGTCGCTCAAAACTCTAACAAAGGTTGCTTTCCCCACCCCATTCAGCCCTAAGCTGCCAGTGTTGTGGAAGCTACGTGCTCCTTGGGCCAGCCACACGCTCGTCACCCCACGGGTACTTCGAGCGGCTCGGTTGTAACGCGCTGACGCTATTGACACCACCACAACGCCAACAACGCCACCAAGGGCAAAGTTCATAAGCACGTCTGCCTTGCTACTCCACGAACGCGGGAAATCTTTTCTTTCTGTTTTTGTTTGCGCCGGACATCCCATGATGCATCGCGCTTTCCGCTCGCTTCTCGTCGAGCGCTTGCTCGAGTGCATTGTTTGGAACGAAAAATATAGCCAATCGTTCAAAATACAAACGTGCGATTATCATTTACGGAATTTGAATATTTCATTTTTTGTTTCCGTACCCCTTTAAATCATCCTATAAGAACACATCCGATTTAAATCACATTGATTTTTCCTCTTCACCCTGCAGCAAACCAACAGCTCCGCTCCGTTGCCTTGCCACGTTGCAACCAATGCTAACAGGAGCAAGCGAGGTTCGTGCAAGGTACCCATATGAAGGCGTCGCTTTAGAAAGACTCGTGTCGTCCGCACCCACCACCGTTCCCAGCGGAGGCTTTTGCTCCGCCGTGTGGATAGTGACGGTGCCCTCGACATTGAGCCGCTCCACCAGGGAGAAGAGCAGCCGGTGCTTGAACTCCGCAAAGTGCATGCCGTTGAACGCCACCTGGACAAGGGACGAGAGGTGGGTCTTGTTAACGCTCGCTCATACTATATGTCGAAAGGGATGGCAAAGTGATTCTCAGACACAATTTTTTTCCAAGAGCATCTCGTGCGATGCGACGAATCCCCTCTGTGCCGGCCCTCTTGAGGGAGAGTGAATAATAATAATCTATTGCGGGTGCTCAAAGTTCTGCCAAGTATCATTTTGAGACTCGTAGGACTGATCCCGACAAGAAAGCACACAATGTAAAAAATAATATTAATAACAATAATGCTTTTTTTCGCTCATGCCCACAGACAACCGTATCGGTCTCCCGTGTGGTGCGCACTACACTGACATCAAACATAAAAGCCAGTATTAAAACTCGAACAACAAACGCTAGGGAAACAAAACCAAAACATATGAAGACGTGCCTTGGCATAATAACATCCATTTACGCATGTAGATTATAATCTTGAGAAAGTTAAAAATGTCAGTTATCTTGACATGCATCATGATAATCATTCTGAATTCTGGTTAAAGGGCACATAGAGGAGCTGAAATATAGAAAATGAGGATGTTTAGTTTAGAGTGTGTTTTCTACTATTCGTCATAATGTCTGCCACAGCACGTGTCACCTCACGTGCGACTCTCTTAGAGCAAAGGGCAAAAAGAAAATGCAGCATATTTTTTTGTTCAGTTTCTCGTGCAAAAGTGGGTGAGGGAGTAAAAAAAAGAAAAGAGGAATACACATTCCACTGTTGTTTTTTTCTGGGCATTATCCAATTTTATCTCTGTAGGTCTGCATTCACTCTTTTAATTTTCATCTTAAATAACATCAGAGATGTCCAAGGTCATGCATTATGTTAGGATGGGTGCAAATACCCAATGCACGCATGACCCCTCATAAAGCAAAAAAAAAAAAGAAAAAAAAAAAAAAAAAAAACATTTCTAGCAAGCGTAGATGAGCTAGACACAATACAGGGCATTCACAAACTTAACGGTTAGGCAAGTTCAGACACTGACTTCCAAACGGAGTAAGTTACAGTCATGCCTCATTAGTACGGACCCCATTAATACGGACAAAATATTAGACAAAAATTTCGAGACACTCACACTTTTGTGAAGTTAAAGCAAGAGTGCGGGCGAGCTGGCTGAGTGTAGACATTATTTTAGCCTTGCAGAGTGGAGACGAAGAGGACAAGGAGGTCTCCACTCTCCAGGGTTAAAATAATGCCTTTTTGCCTCATTATTATGGACAACTCATGTTACGCACGACTTGCGGGGGGGGGTGCGGGCGGAGGTGTCTGTATTAACGAAAATGACAGTACCAACCAAGGGCCAGTTACGCAACTAACGCACAGCAAACAGAACTCGAGAAGACGCACCTTGTAGTCCATCTGTTCCACGAGGATCATGCACTCGAAGTTCTGTCCGTGCTGAACGGGAACAGACTGGACGACCTCCTCCGTTTCCCACTCGTTGCCACGCAGCGTGTTGAACACAGTGTTCCCCGCGTCAAAGCGGGGGTTCACGTGCAGCGCAATGTCGCCCTTTCCCGTCACCAGGTTGATGCTGAACCTGAAAGGGCGACGTCGGCACACTTCAATTTCTCTTCGTCGCAGAGTCAGCAGGCCCGGGCGACATGAGACGCGAAATGTCCGACCGACCGCGCTGCAACTGCTCTCAACCTCTTACGGCGAGAGAATGTGCGGGCGCTAGCTGGCGCCATCTACCAGGTGTCCCTGGAACCCTTCCAATCTGCACATAGCTATATGTTCATTTTCATCTTGAAAACAGGAGTAGTAGTAGTAGTAATGATGATGATGATGATGATGATGTTGATAAAAAAAAAAAAGTCTGATTCCTCCCAGAGCAATACCAATTTCCCCCTTTAGGGATTTGAGATATACGTAGGGGCATTTTAGATTAGGTATGTGTAGAATTCCGTGTTGTTAGATATATAAAAGAAAACACAGAAAAACTCGGAATTTCGAGGCCACGATGGCAAAACGAAAAGCAAAAAGAATGGTGGTTTACGGTGGTGGTTCTGAGGAGTGGTCGCTTCAGTTTCCTTTGAAATATTGGGTGTACCGTTTATCTCGTCGAGACTTGTTCAGAACTACGGGTCATCGTACTTCGGGGTCGCGGCAAATGCTGCCGTTCCAGTTTCCAGTTTGGAACATACTATTTGTGCATCTTAGAGGGAAAAGGGGTTGTGGTTTTATAACAACGAAAGCTACGAGCCTGTAGGTTGCATAGGAGGGGGCAGGGCAGCTGGAGTTTCTATGCTTACCACCGAATTTGTCCCGGTGTTCAGCTACTTGTCGTAAGGCGGTTGGTATTGCGGGCACCAATACCAAACACAGCTGGAGAAACATCATTTTGATACGCACAAGCTTTTATGAATTTAGTGTATGTTTGTGTACGGATATCTTGAAAATTTTAAAACAGTAAAATTGAACTCTAAATTTCAGAGAATTGGGAATTTTTGAAAAAGCAAACTTCGATAAACCACGAATTTTCCGCAAAAAAAATAAATTCCAAGAGACACCCTGCGAATTTCACCAAAAATAAACTCCAAAAACACGGAATCCTGGATATGCGTTATGTTATTACGACATAAGTGTTTCAAACGCCACAAGCATCGCTTCTTCCTCTGATAGCTAAATCTTGTAAGAACTACATCGCGCAGCGTAAGAACAATGCGCAAAACTTGCTTCGTTCTTGAGGTGATGAGTACAGACTGAAGGTTCTGCAATATTTGCAAGATGAAATCTATGCACTATTTATGAGAAATGGTTGCTTATAACATTTTCTTAATTATTTCGAGCAGACAATAAAAGAATGGCACGTAGAATATGTGCAGATTGAAAGTGTTTCGCATTTGCAACGTGCATGCACAATGGCATTTCTTGCTGCTACCTTGCGTGTTTGGACAGTGTTGTGCCCTTACTTCATTTCCCAACAGGCAGGTACAGCTGCAACAAATGAAGTCTCGATATTTGAAACTAACAGGGGGAAGAATGAGTATCAAAATCACACACTTTCAGTACCCACATCAATTCAGTCTTACAGCTTTATTCACTATTACCCACCTATCTTTTTTTTTTTTCTGGTATAAACATTGATTAAATTAAATCAATGGTAGGTGTGCTGATGCCACGAAAGGGTCCATACAACTGTGATAATAAAGTTAAAAAGAAAAAAAAGGCAGCATTAAGCTAATTCTGAAATCTATGGGTGACTACTGTAAAATACTGCAGAAGCACCCGGAATTAATCTTTCGGCCAGACTTGGGAATTATGCAAATTATAAGTTAACCCCCCGATCTGACCAGACAAGTGCCCATGTCTAGATTAGCTCTCTTTCACATAAGATATCTGAAAGGGAGCTGGACATACAAAGAGATTAACACACATTTCTGAATGACAAGCATGTGTGTATATGTTCATTTGTCTTTTCTTCCTTGTGTTGGCAAACCAACAGACCTTTTCGTGTGGTTATGGACATGGCCAGTCAGTTCGATGATGGTCCCGGGGACAAGCGGTTGCAGAGGGAGGTCCATTGGAACTTCCTGCGGTTCATTGGATAGAAAAAAAAAAAGAGTTAAACATAAAGGTTGGTCCTTTCTTTTTTTTCTTAGCGTTTGTTTTGGGCAAGGTTGGTAAAAGTAAATGATTGTAGCGGCAACCTCTTTTATAGTCGTTTCACACAATGTAATTTGGTTACAGCCACTGCATCGTTGGGTTGTAGCACGATTCCCCCGGTGGCAGTTCCCCTGTCCCAAATGCCCCGTGCCATTTCCCCCGAGTGTCAAAATCCCCGTTGTCCAATTCCCCGTCTTGCCTCCCCCGAGCGCCAGCACCCCCGTATCCAATTCCCCCATGTTGTAACTTTTGTGTGCCTCTCTATCCAGTGGCAATCAGTTGATCGAACGACGTTTCATCGACATATCGTTTCATCAAAAGTTTGTTACACCAACTGCTCGGATTAGCTTCCTTTTGTAATAAGTCGCCTGTGTCTGTCGCCGCGAGGCGGTGTGGACGGGTGGTCCGCCTGGATTAACATGGGTCCCTGTGATGCACGTGCGACGAAGCTAGTTTTTTTCACGAAACATGGTGCCGATGAAACGAGTGTCAACGAAACGATATGGACGCCCGTTGATCACCTCCGATGTTCTTTGAAACCAACGCACACTGTTATTCCGTGATCCTGTGTCAGTTCAGTGATTGACAATATTGCAAATTATGGGAGATTTATTAACATGTTAATGTATACAGTTTTGTTGAAGCAATGTCCACTACTTAGATACCGCAATATCGCTGCACCAGCCTCAGGAACTCTTGAATGTTGAGCTCTCCATTGGACGGACGCTGCTCGAGCTTCCTGATGGCTTCGTCCTTCATCTCCCACTTCTTTTGTCGCTTTCGGGCTTGGCCGCCGTTGGATACCTGGAGGAGGGTGACTCTGCTAGTGGCCTCGTCCCGCTTGATGTGCTCCACGAAAGTGTAGACATTGGGGTGCGCTTTCCCGATGGCGTTGTTAATTTTTCTGTAAATAAAAAGCACAAGGATTACAACTCCTGGTAAATAAGCATTCTGATTTTTTTATAGCAAATTTATACCATACTGAAAAATGAACTGACCGGTGCCAGGCCTCCTCTAGGTTGTTTGTCCGGGCTCCGCTGTTTTGGTGGTGGTTCCACTGCTGGGTGTCGTAGTTTCCTAAGAGCCAAGTATCCTCGAAGTACAGGATAAATTGTGGGACTCCAAGGGCTGGTGGTGCAGTTGCCTTCAAACCCCGCCAAGCAATACGTACGAACGCTGGCGGGACAAAGGCCAAATTGATTGTCTGGCATACAGACATCGTTACCGAAGAATCTTCCTGGTAAGCCTTGGCAAGTCCGAGTTCTTGAACCTTCCTCCAGATTGCTTGAGCGAAGTGAAAATGGCAACCCTGGTGCCGGATTCCAGGAAAAACGAAAAGCCTAGATAAGGGCCAGTTCAAAGTCCGTACGGACAACGCTGAGTGACAGAGGTGCACGAAGAGCGTCCAACGCCGTCTTGAAATTCGTGAAGGCCGACACATATACTTCTCGAGACTTCCCAGGTAGAAGAAAGTAGGCGATATTGAAGCTCAAACCCTCTTTGACGGCGCTTATTGTGACTAGTTGATAAAACAATGACGGGCAGGAGGAAAACGTGCCATCGATGAACACTTCAACCATTTCCGAAAAATGAAAAAGCAGCTCCTGCGTGCAAAAGCAAAGAACACGGCCTGCACTTCTGCTGACGTCGAACAGCAGGAAGTCTCGCTTGTCGAGTGTCTCCGTATGTAGTCTTCCAAGGTTAATCTCGGCCATGTCCCTTGGTAGGCTCGGTTGCTGCTTTCTCTTCTGCTCAAGATCTCTCTGCTGTACACTTGCGGTGCTGGCAAATGCGGCTCCAACCTAACCCTTTGCTTCAGTGCATTCTTCAGTCGCGCTTCCCGAAGTTGGCTGCTAGCAGGTGGATGGTTGTGCTCTGAAACACATAGACGTGATGATAATGAAACGCCGCAGCAGATTTTAGCCTCATTCATTCAGTGCCCTTCAAGCTGAACAGCAATACGAGAGTTTGCGAAAGTAAAAAAGGAAAGTCATTAGCTCACCTTGTGTTGTCTTGACGACTTTTCCGTGCTTTGTGAGAACTGCTGCTTTGCAGTTATTTGTCCAGTATTTAGCACATCTCCAGGCAGTTTTCTCATCTTGGTTCTTCCGCTGAAAGCAATACTTAAATCCGACTAGTACTAAGGCCTCCTTCCCTTTTTCCGTTTTTAAATATTCGACCTCCATCTCCTGCATCTCAACCTCGTCTGGGAAGCCTCCAATGTTGAAAGTTCCTTAAATAGAACTCACCTGGTCGCGTTCGAGGTTTCTTTGTTCTTGTTGACCCTCGGTATGCACCTTTTCTTTCGTCCCGTAACGAGAATCGGGGGCAGAGGACGGGGGGAACTGATAAGGGGATGGGGGCACGGAGTTTTTGGAACACGGGGGAAATGAGTTCGGGGGAGATAACGCGGGGAATTTGCAGCGGGGATATCGACACGGGGGAATCGGGATTGGGTTATTTCGTGCACCACCCCATCGTTGCACCTCAGTCGCGCGATATTACCCTTTCACCAGAATGTATTTCTAATCGAACGAACGGTCAAGTGTGCCGTTTCAGAGACGCAGATCAAGATCGAGCCTTACTCCCCAGCAAAGAATACACGTAGGGACGTCCCGCTACGAAGACAGCCGCGTCTTCCACACAACATAACAACTGTTTAAGATCGCTGGACGTTCGAACTTCGGACTTGGATCGGATGGAATACGTACGGGGTCGAACGTCACCAAGCTTGGGTCAGGATACGCTGGCAGGGAGCAATACGCGAGTAGCTTGCCGGTCATCCGTGAATAGGAACCGCCAATATGACGGCCAGGGACGTCGCGTTTTCGGAATGGGCGGAAACTTACACAGGGTTCGATTTAGCCGTTCAAGGTTCCAGAATGTCCGGACGGGACCCCTGCCTCCACTACGCGTCGTCGGCTTGGTTACGCCCAGCACCACAGAGGATACGAGTATACAACTCGCCCGAGGCTGACCGGGCCGTTAAATATAGATAAGGACGGCCGTAACGACGTCACACGTAATAGGTGAGCAATGTTCCTTATCCCGAACACGACTTCTTTTCGCTAATCATACGAACGAACGTCTGAAGCAGACTGCTGTTGAGGTTCTAAACAGTTTATTCGATAGTACGAGTAATGACAGTTTCGTAGGTTTCGAACATCAAATGATAAAATTCCTGTGTAGATTTTTTTGTATTTATTTATTATTTTTTTTCTCTTTTGTTTTGTTACGTACGCAAGTAATAAAAATAATAAATCGAGCGAGGCGACCTTTTTGTTTTTCGTTTGTTTGTTTGAGAATTTAATCACGTGATTCCTCCTGCAGCGCGCATTTGGAAACTCGTTGTTTGTGAGTCGAATGACCCGAAAATTATGGTAAGTAGCGGCGATTATATTACGCCGTTCACTTCGTGGTCAGCTGGCGTTACCTGCCAGGCAACCCGAGGGACCAGCCGAGCCGGGATTTGAGGAAACATTGCGTGTCAACGCAGTTGGGATCGTGCGACTAGTGCTAACCGAGAGGCCATGCAATGTTTTGGTGCTGCTTTAGTGTTGTGTGTTTGTTTAGACATTGGGAAAGTTAATCAGCGGCCCCCATTGGGCGTCTCCGAGCTGCGGTGCGTCAACGTTAACAATACACTCGGCCGCTGACCCCCCTCGTCGCCGTATTGTCGACGTGCCGTGGGGTCGTGTTCGCTAGCTGTAAAGTCACTGCCTGTTGCGTTGTTTGCTGTATCCGCGACCTGATGGTATTAGCGCGGCTTAATGATGTAACTGTCGTTAATGTCCGGTTCTAGGAGGACAAGGAATTCGAAGTCCCCTACGCGAACAAGAAGATTGCGTGTGTGAGTTCGCGGCCGAAGCGCGGAAAGGCGACGTACGGAGTGATCCTCACCCACGGCGCCGGTGGCGACATGCACCACAAGCACCTGGTTGAGTTGGCGTCCGATCTGGTGTCGACGGGCAACGCTGCCGTGTTCAGGTTCACCTGCCGCGGTCTCAACATCGTGCACAGGATCAAGGTCTACAGCACCGTTTTGGTATGGTATCCGCATGCTATCACCGTTTTACATTGGGCCAATCTACAGGGTGAAACAAGGAGACGCCAGGCTCTTTAAATCGACCGGAAAATTCGGTTTCTTAACCTATCGCGCTACGAGTTTGTGCAGCGTTGCCCACAGATGGTGCATTTGTTTTTGTAAAATTTGCAAAGAGCGAACTTACCTGGGGAAAAAGTAAAGAGAGTGCAAAACGGCGCCGTGTTGTTTGCAGACCGGTGGCGTCGCTGCATTTCCATAGGAGCTAAGCCTTTTTCTTTCTTTACTTTTTCCCCAGGTAAGTTCACTCTTTGCAAATTTTACAAAAAAAAAAAAAATGCACCATCTGTGGGCAACGCTGCACAAAGTCGTAGCGTGATAGGTTAAGAAACCGAATTGGTGTTGATGTCGCTGGCCTGTAATAAGGCGGAGTCTCCTGAGGGGGCGGTTCACCGAATGATACTTTAGCGAATAGTCGGGCGCCGCGAAGCGGCGTTTACGTGTGGGCCGATACACACACACATGTGGGTTCACATTTTTTGTAATGAGCCGCCGCAGACTGTCGCCGCGAAGCGGCGTAAAGCGCAGCGCAGCGGGTGGGTTAACGCGCGCCCCCGTTATTCCCCCGGAGGCTCCGCCTTATTACAGGCCAGCGACATCAATACCACCGAATTTTCCGGTCGATTTAAAGAGCCTGCCGTCTCCTTGTTTCACCCTGTAGTGCGACATAGGCACAAAATGACCTGTGCTGAAAGCTCGAATTCTGACCCAAATCTTGTGCCAGTGATAGGGATTCCAAAATTTCAGAACAAAGTGTTGTCCAACTGAATAGGTAGACACTTTTTTTTTTTTTTTTGAAGTTCTAAATTAGAAAGTGATTTCTTCTGCTAGAAGTAGAATAAAGAATTCAGAAGTTGAGTTCTTAAACTCAACCTTGTCCCAACTGGGCCCCCATCGGTTATAGTGTCCAAGCTCTCAGTAAGGCATAGCATATTTTCAGTGCCCAAAATTGTTTGGTTTTCTTGGGTGACAGCCAGTATGTTTCATCACATATATTTAAAGTTCCGTGTTTTCAATGTTTATATTTTCTCTCGAAGTCGGGGGTAATTGCTCTGCGTTTATTTTTTTCCTCTGATTTGGTGTCTAATTTCAATGCTTGAGAGTAATCCGTGTTTATCAGGCTTGTGCTGTAATGCGACTCTATAATTATGGGAGAAATACTATAGTTCATAAATTATAACATTTTCTCCAGAAATGGTGGTAAAGATAAGAGAAAAGAATGGGGCAAGTAATGTGGCTTCGATAGAAAAGAACAACCACAAGGACAATTCAATGCAACTGTGTTCCAAATCAACAAGAAAAAAAAAAGTAGGGTAGAAGATTTTTTTCCATAAAGCTGGTATTTTTTGTTTTGTTTCTAAGGACAGTTTAAATTTGGGGTTTTTCTGTTTTCACCAATTCAGAGAAAACTGTCTGGTGTTAATTTTCTATGTTTATTGGTTCATACTGCAAACACGAAACACTACATATAATGTAGTCTAACAATGAGTCAGTGTACGCTTCATACCACGCACAGGCATGAATGTTTGCAGAGCTATGAGGGGGATCTACGGCCATGTGTAATGCGCTGCTGCTAGGAGCATGTGGAGCAAAAACTGATGCTGCAAAGTTCTAATCTACAGCGAAGTCACCGGACATTCACAGGGGCTGATTAACTTCCAGCTCTCTAAACATGCTTGCAACACAATTACAGAGCTATGGTCATCTGCACTCATCTCTTTTCCTGTTGTGGGATCTTTCTCCTGAGTACATTGTAACGTGCAAGCTGGCAACAAAACGTGTGTGGAAGGGAGTGTGTTGGAGGTGAAATATAGAAGACACAAAAAAGGAAACACAAGGACAGCGGACAGCACACAACAACCTTTTTCTTGTCCTGTCAACAGAAAACAACACATGATAACCTTTTCAGCCCCTTCCTGTTGATTCCGATGCTTCTTTGTCTTCCTTTCTTCATGGACCGGGACGAGCCTGCCTCAGTGAAAGGGGCATCGATATACTACATGTTCGTCGCTGTTTGACAGAGCTTTGTGTGTTGTCCTCTGTTCCTGTAAGTGTTCCCCCTTTCGTGTCTTCTGTACAGCAAAACATGCTTGCACACTTTCGCCAGTAGGTTCGTGACTATTGCTGTTAGGCCAATGTCATCAGACTCCAGACCACATTGTTTCAGCAGGGGCATAACTCCACTGCATTGGTTTAGCAGTGAATGACGGGTAGCTTTTAATAGTCGTAGGTTAGCCAAAACAACTTACTTGTTTGTTTGGTGTTCGGGTTACCCTCAAGCAGTTACATTCTAAATGTGCATATTTCATTTTTGATTTTCAGAAGTATGTGCTGCAAAACTACGACTTGAAGGGGGTGTTTCTCGGTGGTAAGAATTGCAAGTCCTCATCTTTATAGGCTTTCGTTGCAAGTAGGCAAACCTGTGCAAGCTATGGTCGCTGACGGAATACAAAAGCAGAGAGGTTTTTCAGTTGTTCCGCTTCCACCATGAGCTTCCTACCTTCAATAGCAGTGACATCTCATGAGCTCTCAGTGTGCACATGCAGCCAAAGCACCAAGGAAGGCAACTAGCATGTGCTGAAAGTAGAAATCGGGTTTAGGAATATTGGAAGTAGAAATTGTTCTGGGCAGATCGGGCCTGAAAAAGTTTTACGAAGGCATATTTTCTAAATTAAACTGACTACCGAAAATCCCGAGAAATAGCCCACCTAACACCAAGAGCAAATCAGGCGAAAATACGGAGTGGGCTAACTTTCGGTGTAAAATCAAGAGAAGTTTAAAAAGTTGCTATTTTTAGGCTGTGTCTTTTTCAAGCTTGTAATGGTGGCGAGGGGCAATGAATCAAAGATGACTGTACTTCCCAGTCAGCAACGTTCGCCTTGTATCCCACCAGCTAGCTAGCTGCAGGTACGCCGAGGCCATCATTGATCCCCACACTACTATTACTAGAAGTGGGCTAGCTTTTTCGGTTTTTTTAAAAAAAAATATAGCAAATCAAGCCAGATTAAATGGTGGGCTATCTTTCGGGGGTGGGGAATCTCGGGATTTTACAGTATGTTAATACATAGTAGCTTTGCGCCAAAAAGCCTGTAATCAACAACAGTATGTTAATAATTGGAATGCCTAGACAAGCATTCAGTTCTTCAAGTCGATTCAAAGTGGCGGCGGGGTGCGGCTCGTGGGTCAAGGACAACGCCACGCCAACACGAAATGCCCGGTCTGACCACTATATTACCATTACACGTACTCAAGTGCATGAAATGAATGGATGGATAATAGTGGCGGTTAGTGGCGATACTTAGAGCCATTACACAACATAAGCCTAGGGTATTGGCAGCCCTACTCCAGTTGTTTTGGGGGTGCCACCATTTTTATAATTAGTGCAGAGCAACATTGCTCCCGCGATATCGCTTCGGTCTGTTGCAAACTTTTTATATTTCCAGAGGACGGAAAAGTGTTCCTGCAATTTTAGATAAGGCTTGATCATGGGCGTACCAACCTGGGGGGGGGGGGGGGGGGGGGTGTGCAAAGGGGGCGCTTGCCCCCATAGTTCTCAGAGTGAAGGGAGGCATGTGTTTTGCCCCTCCCCTGAAAAAGCAGCCACTGGGCAGGCAAACACTAGCCGGCAAGCCCAAGGGATACCAAGGGCACCCCCCCCCCCCCCTCCTTGGCCCTGTGTGTGTGTGTGGGTAGGTCTGGTTTGCCCCCCCCCCCCCCCCCCCCCCCCCCCACACACACACACACACACACACACACACACACACACACACACACACACACTCAAGAATGAAAGCCGTTTACAACTCCCTGTAATGCCGAATTGGAGCGCAGCTCCTGAGGAGGACGAGGGAACGGTACTGAGGGGAGGGTATATTCCTCCTCCTCCTTCGTGATCCTGCCTGCTACTCCTGAACGAAAGGGCTCCGGTTCGAAGCCGGCCGAAGGACAAGAGATAAAAGTATTTTCAAATCATTTTTTGGAGTATTGAAAATTCGGATTCATCCCCCCTGCTCCCCTCCTTTCTCCTCCTCCCCTCACGGGGGTCACGTGACCCCCGGACCTGTGGGGGTCACGTGACCGGGGGGGGTGTCACGTGACCTCACGGTTACGCCTACGACGACGACGCTCATGCCGGAAACGCGCCTAAAGGCCCGTTCACACTCTTGCGACCTCTTAAACCTGGGTTCCTTAAATCTTCTTAAACCAGAGAACACACTGGTGCCATCTATTGGGAAGCAGTGTAAACTCGGCGGTCCGGCATATTTTTTTTTTATTTCTCGCGCATTATCCTTTCTTTCTTGAATCGAAAAACATTTGTCAATGTTATAAACGAGCTTTTTTATGGGTATTGCGCACATTTGACCTCGGAAATCCCGCAAAACCTTCGCTCTTGTGAAATCTAGTTCCAGGGTCACCGCATAGATGGTGCCACAATGCCAGTGTGTTCCCTCATTCTAAAAACATTTAAGAAGTTTTAAGAGATCTCGTCTCTCTGAGTCGTACTCGGTCGCAAGAGTGTGAACGGGCCTTAAGAGCTGCGCTCGAAAACGAATTGGTACGCCACTGGGCTTCAAGTTAGCCGAAGTGTCATTACTCTGATCTTTAGCTTATTTAGTGACTAGCTGTACCCTTTGTAACGGTGGCAACTTGCACCACCCAGATGGATGAATGGGTGTTAACAATAGGACCCTTTGTAATGGGGTGCACTTTCAGGGTGTATAGCGACCGAGAAAACCAAGAATTGTCAGGGAAATTTTAACTACCAGAAAAAATCGGGGAATTGTCATGGATATTGTCAAAAGGCGAGCCCCGTCAGCGAAAATGATCCGGAAACGCCATCGAGTGCCTTGAGCAAAGACTTGAGGACTGGGGGCAGAACAATAGGCAATAAATTCTGTTTAGAGCGGGGCGCGGGCTCTGCTCACCCGGTGTAGAGCGTAGTACCCGATACAAAGGAAACAGCCGACAAATCCAGTACACGCCTTGGATTGGATTGGATTGAGGGCGCGACACTAGGCTAGATCCAGTTAGAGTTACTAGATTCAGTAACGAATACGAAAGCTGCAGACCCCAGTCCAATCCAAGCCTTAAGCCAAAAGTATCCGAAAGTGTGCATCTGACGGCCACGCTGCCATTAGCTTATGAACGTGTGTGGTTCATTGGTGTTTCCGAAAGTGGCCTCTTCATTGACAATGTCGGCGGCAAGAAAGTGCTCGTTTCTCCGTTGTGGACGAACCCGAATATTTCGGAATATGCAAGTTGGGTTAAGCCTGTGCAAAATGATCCTCACAGTACTCAATGCTCACCGCCTTCACCTGAAATTGCCAGGGAAACCCTGGAAAAGTCAGGGAATTTCAAAATAAGAATTTGCTAGACACCCTGACTTTGCACCACCTGCAGTCCGTTGCAGGTTGGGAGTGGGAGGACATGTTGCACCCACCAAAGCCCTCCACTCTTTCTTTTTTACCAGTCCAAACGTTGGAGATGATATGAGCGGAAAGGAGGACACCATCAATCATGGCGAGCGGAGAGCCTTATGGGAGAGGCTTGTCCTACTATTGTAAATCTGCAACAAACTGTAGACACTTTTGTTGAACCGCCAAAAGGAGGCGTTGTTGGCAATTTACGTCCCCACATACTTCCGGTCAAATAAGAGCACAAACAATTCCTACCGCTTTTTGTAGCGTTATGAAATATTTTGTGACCAGTTTTCCAGGCGGTTAGTGAGAGATTCCATCTTCAATCTTCCATTTCATAAGCGATTCCAGCTTCTGTATCTGTTGGAGATTTTTTTATTACTCTTGTAGTATGACCGATTTCACGTTATATGTTTAATAGCGCGACAAAAGGACATTGATAAATCCCCAGCTTCGTGATTTCTTAGAATTTCATTGCCCCAAAATTTGACATCAACGGACGCGGATCGAGGGCCTGCCGAAACAGAGCAACCGCAAGTCTTTTGGAGGGCGAGCGACTGGTTGTGTTTGCAAACAGTAACCCGCATTGTTGTCAGTCTGGGTGGTATCCGCTACCAAGTTCACCCCTACGTTACAGGCCGGTCAATGGGGGCAAGGGCCGCAGTCGGGACGGCCACATCCGACGACAAATCCGTCCAAAAGCTTGAGAAAAAGATCCTCGGCATCGTCTGCTTGGCGTACCCGCTGCACCCCGAAAAGCAGACGTCCAAACTGCGCGACGGCCCCCTGCTTGCCCTGAAGAAGCCCGCCTTCTTCATGAGTGGAACGAGCGACGCCTTGTGTTCTCGGGAACTCCTCGAAGAGACCCTGGAAAAAGCGACGTTCGAACCCGCTTTTGCGTGGCTCGACGACTGCGACCACGGGTTCAAGCGAAAGGGGGGTTCGTCTGACGACGAAGTGAGTGCCGGCTTTTCGGAGATTGTCAGCTGGTGCGAAGCTGTGGCCAAGGATGCTGTTTAACGAACATTTCTAAAATTGTAAAAGTTTGTTTTTAATCTTTAAAAAAAAAAAAATGTTAATGCGTTACCCGAGACTGGGGAAAAGGCGGACGACAACACAACACGCATTGTGTTGCCCTTTGTCTTTTCGGCAGTCTTGGGAAAAACATTCACCAGCTGGTTTGTGCAACTTTTTGTAAGTTTATAAAAATAAAAAAAAAAAGAAGAAAAGAAACGAGTTAGAGGTGAGTTCTAGCATATTTTTTGTCTCGTGAATTTGAATACCAGAAGCTTTTGACCCCAACGTATGAATAGACGCTAGAAAACAAACTAATCGACCGCAAGGTGTGACGTCATACCCAGAGGCTTCAAGTGCCTTGCGCTTGCCCCTTGTGAGGGAATGCGTGCAGCGTTTTTAATTGCTTGGGTAAGGCATGCGAACGTGCCGGGAAGGAGCGCTATTTTGAAAGTGCTGTTGTGGCTACATGGAGCGTCAATCTGAAACATAATTTTGTTGTTCGTGATCCTGGAGATCAAATGACGATTCAAGTGTTTTTTGCTCAAATACAGAACGGCTTCAGTTTTCCTTTAAAACCTTCGAGTGCCGCCCTCCCCCATGCAGGTTTCGATTTTCTCCCTACATCTTCCAACTGAACTGTTGACTCGAAACATCGAGGTCACAGTGGCAAAATTAAAAGCACTAAAGGATGCCACTTTACGAATAAAGTTTGTTTGAGCACAGGGTTAGTTTCCGGCTTATCTCGTCAAGTTTCAATGAGTATACAATGGGCCAAAGTGCTTCTGGACCACGACAAAAGCCACTGCTCCGGTTTCCAGTTTGGACCATATACCATTTGTGCTCCTTCGAGAGAGGAGGGGTTACGTTTTTATCACGGTGAAAGATGTGCACCTGTAGATTTTAAAGATGGGAAGTGCAGCTGGGTGTTTAATGCTCGAATATGTGCGTACGTAGCGCAATATCGAAGCCGTCGGCACGCAATGTGGGGCTTATCGCTCACCCTTTGAAGTTACAACGAGACAGGGTATAACCGTGCACGCTCTCGCCACTCTGCTTGCGCCGCCTGCCTGTTGGCTGGTGCAGGCACGAAGTAGTTCTACGCAAAAAAATGTTTTTGGTTTCTTTTTTCGGAGGGGCGTTTACCTGCCGACGCTTTGAATTAAACTTAATTCCCGGTCACATATGTCGTCTCGCGGCCGATGAGGAAAGGCCGACCAACCTTTTCTGCCCAATAATGCATACATGGGCGAGCAGAACGCCATAATGTTAACAACAAGCAGATCGTTCTCGCGTGTGAGCGTTGCTAAAATGAGAGACAAATATAGGTGTTTCACCATACTTTGTTTGATTCTTGGTCAGAGCGCAGGCAAAGGCTATAGACGGCACGGAAACACATACAAAGACCAAAAGCGCTTTCTGACAGCGCGTTTGCTGCGTTGGAAATAAAGTGAGTAGGCAGGCGAGCTGGTTGATGTTACACATTTTTGAAAAACCGGAGACGACAAACGGGGAAAAGGGGAACACACAAGATGTCTCAAAACGTCTTGTGTGTTGGCTCCTTTATCCGCCGTCTCAGGTTTTTTCAAAAATGTGTAGCGTTTGCTGCGTTAGATTCTATTAGCGGAACACTCAAATCAGTATAGCGAACGCCGTGGCGTTGAGCTGTCGGTGATGCCTTCATCGCCGCGATCGGCTCATATTCGCCGCGCTCCAACTGAGAGTGAAATGAGTTCTTTAGTTTTATTTGTTTATTCTCTTTAATTTCTTTTTTTACACGAAATATTGGCATCGTCGTTCGATGAAACGCTGTTTCATATAACGACGTTTCATAGAGTAGTGGACACTTCATCTAACGCCGTTGGCCATCTCATCGTATCGCTCGACGACGTTTCGTCGAATTTCGTTTCTGCTTTCAAATTACTGTAAATGTAATGACTAAACTCGTCTTTTTTTTTTTTTCCTGCACCTAGAATTGGCAGTAGGCTTTCGTGAAAATTGTGTCGTTTAGTTCCCGCAACGTAGCCAAATAGTTAAAGGAAAATATATATATATATGGGTGGTTTCATCTCAAATCGTGCAGGCAAAAAGGGTCGAATTTTTAATTTCAATGAAAAAAATATATGTTATGGCGCCGTTTCTAAAACCGCAGTCGACACAAACCGCAAGTTCGTCGGATTTTTTGTTCTCGACTTATGAATTTTTAAAGAGGCCCCGGCGAAAAGCAGTGTTTTTCACACCCGTCGTGGGTCGGATGTTTCGCTTGATCTCCCGCCATGAATTTTCAGTCCACATTATATTATCTTTTTTGAAGCACTCTGTGGACATATTTAAAAGGCTCCAATACCATGAAATAATTTTAGGCCTTTTGCTTTTTTTCTGTAAAAATGTCAAAAACGCCTCCTCGGTCAATTGTTGACGAACTTTGACAATTAATTACTGGCGATCTACTTGAGTTACACCGATATTTTTTATGTCCACGGAGAGTCTAAAACACGCTCTTTATGTTTATTATAAAATGACTCGGCTGTACAAATTATCCTTTGTGGTACGTTTACGTTAATATCATGCAAAAACCAAAAACTACCATTTTTGAAACTGATTTTCTCAAAAAACCCATTTTTTATTTTTTTTATTTTTTGTTCAAATGTAGATATGATAGTTGTCTACACGAAAATCAAGCCTAGAAAGTGTATATTTTGTTTGCATGTTTTATATTTAGGCCTCAATATCGGAAAAAGACGCCTTTGTTTTGCAAGACCTAAGTCAGACTTAGCGACCCATGCGTCTCTATGAATTGTGAAAACGTTTTCTTGAATTTTCTTCAGCATTTTGTAATCAATTATAAACGGATTTTGTGGTATTGAATATTTATGTATGTTTTGATAAGAGCGGGAACCATGAGATACATATTTAACCAAATCAGCAGGCCTAGTAGACTTTCAATAATCAAAAGGCACAGACGTTGTATTGTTTCGATTTATAAACCTTTCAAAGTAAACTAGCACGACTAGCTATTAGCTGTCATATTACTAAGACAAAGAAAGTCACCACATCGTCGATATATTATATACAATTCTTTACGAAACCAAACACTGGGGATTGTTCACCGCACATCGCACAGGTCACCAGGGAATGTCCTTTCACTTCCGTAATACACAAAAGTGGTGACACAGAAACGGTCCGAAACACACAGAGAGTGTGTCATGGAGAGGGGTAGGAAATAAAAATAAATAAATAGGAATTAAATTGCCCAACGCCGATCTAAACAAAAATTGCGTAAAAAAAAAAGTATTTAGGTTCGAGCGGTGGCAAGGCGATTGGTCCACGCCTGGTGGAGAGTCAGACAAAGAAGTCGACGGCACGTAAAGGTAAAACAAAAAAAAAAAATCAATAATTTAATAAAGACGGAAAAACTCAGCCGCACATGGCAAGAACAAAAACCAACTCCTCCGGGCATTCCCTAAACGGGACGCAACCAAATGCGTGCGAACACGCTCTCTACATCACCGCCACGCCGCTACGCCATCACGAAGTAAACCCAACAACTGAACAGTGCTAACAAACAGTTAGTATGAAAACATTAAAAAAAAAAAAAAAGTTCAGAAAAAACCGCACCCGAGAAACAAAGTTCAGCGGGGCGAAGAAACACGCACGAGTCGGTCCCACGACATTGAAGTCTGGCAGGATGACGGCGTCCAGATGATGCTCGAATCCGTTCCTCCCTCTATTACGCACATCCACGACGGCTGTGCGGAACAGTGGCTGTACGAAAGAAAGTGAAGAATAGATTCGAGCAGGCGATGCGCGAGAAGGTAACCGAGACTATGCTTCAAGCTTCATATCGGGAGAGGAGCTTTCGAGGTAGTTTCTGCAGTTACTCAAACTTTCTCTTTCCCCTTCCCTTTTTCAAAAGGACACGTCAGCCGGCGATAACGTTTCATCTCGGGAGAAGCCCACTCTTCACAAACGGTTATAGTTGACAAGGAGGCTGACTTCGACCCAACTAGTCTCCGGGCAGAATACTAACACAAGTATATTTACCAACACGCTCGTTTTAATGTCAGTCTCCGGGCTTTGCTGTTTCCAAAAGAGATAACCCTTTATAAGGACAGAACGAGCGGGTTGGTGGGGATAATTAAACTTAAACACTCCCTTCTCGTTTTCTTCCTCAAGTTTAATAGATAACTCTTCGGTGCTATCGGATCTCCCCGGAGAGAGAGAGAGAGAGCACGGCATTTTCAAGGTAAGGATAGGGCGCTCGAAGCTAGGGCAAACAGGCGGTATCGTTTCACGCATGCACGGATGGCTGGTTTCAAATTTCCCCACATCCCTAACGAAACCGGCCATCTTCGTATGTGCGTCTGCGGGATTTCTGTCCCGCGCCGCCGGTTTTAGCGCGCACGCGGCGTTGTTTTGGCTGGCAGAACAGTTGTTGACCGTCGACATTATAAGGCCGTGGTGTCCTCATCCTTTCAGGCAACGATTCCTTTGCTTTCCCTTGTGCAATACTCTGACTGACTCCTCCTGGGTGGCTGTCACTGTTCGCCGCGTCTACGACAGAATCGTACCATTTCACTCCTCGTGACACAGGGTGCGCTGCTCGCTTTACTGTCACGGGCCGTCCCATCTAACACAACGAGCGCGAAAGGTCGTGGTCATCTGCTGGCTCCGAAAGGGCGGGACGTTCATGCAGGCCAATGAGGGCCCCGAATCAATAAGACGTCTGCCGACTCCTACACGTTAAAAATTTACGACACCTGCTGGTCTGTTAAGAAGTGTTGCTTTCTCTTTTTGGAACACCTCCGATGTAGCTTGCCGCCTATAATAAAATTTAAATAATCAATAAATATATTAGGGTGGAAATACTGCATTTCATTTTTATGTGGGAACGTTGAAAAAAAGAAAAAAACTATTTCCAAGCTTGTGAAGACGCGCAATTCGCAAGTCCATTTCGAGCCGTAAAAACACGTTTTTGTACGATATTGATGCTTAAATGTAGAACATACAAACAAAATATACACTTTCTAGGCTTAATTTTCGTGTAGACAACTATCATATCTACATTTGAACAAAAAATAAAAAAAATAAAAAATGGTTTTTTTGAGAAAATCAGTTTCAAAAATGGTAGTTTTTGGTTTTTGCATGATATTAACGTAAACGTACCACAAAGGATAATTTGTACAGCCGAGTCAT